AAAGCACTTTCTTATTATGAAAAAGCTCTTGAAATGAAACAACAGTCACTTCCCTCTAATCATCCTGATTTAGCTATGTCCTATAACAACATCGGTTCGGTGTATTACTATATGGGTGATTATCCAAAAGCGCTTTTTTATTATGAAAAAACCCTTGCAATCAAACAGCAATCGCTTCCTTGCAATCATCCTCACTTGGCTATGTCCTATAACAACATCGGTTTGGTGAATGTGTATATGGGCAACTATGCACAAGCTCAGTCATTTTTTGAACGTGCTGTACAAATTGGAGAACAGTCCTTATCCCCAAATCATCCTGGTCTTCAAGAATGCAGGAAAAACCTCGAAAACATGAAAAAGAAATTATAATTTCTTTCTGTATTTTTTTTTGAAAGTAAAATTAAACTGATGAAAAAGAAAATGTGTCTTTATTGAAACACTATTTTTGTTGAAAATACAATATGAGCAGTAACGCTCACCGATAAGGTAAACAATACATATTGAAAAGATATGTATCGTAGAAAAGACCTTCACGGTTATATTATTATGTCTGAATAAGTAGCATTTCGTTGTGTTAGATAAGAAAAAAAGATACTCAACAGAAACACAGAAGAATAAAAGGGGAGAAAAAGTTTATTTTATCAATAGAATGAATTATTCTTTCTCTTCCAATATTAAAGAATAGTTTATACCATCGATAAACTCATCCATATTAAATGAATAGCATACCTGTATATATATACATATATATTATAGTGTTATTCTTTGTTTATCTACGATCAGAATAGTTAAAATGTTAATTCTTCATTACCATCACAACCCTAAATGAAATATGTCAAAAAGATTATGATTCATTACAAAAGAAAGAATAGTTACTATATCGGATCTCATTATTATTATATATTCGTTATTGACAATAATTAGTGAGTATCTTAGTCTTTGTTAAATATATCTAGTTTGATTTGTTATGAATATGTTTATGCTATATCTATTACTTAATTAATTCTCCGAAATGATGAAGAATATATTTTGGCAATAACTGGAAAATGTTCTCATCATATCCATTACATAGTTCTACAAAAAAAAGAAAAGGCATATTCTAGGCTTGATAAACCATTCTTTTAATCAAATGATATCTTTCATATGAACAATTCTGAATAAGTTTTTTTTCTTCCCGACCTTTTACGTAAAAACATTTGATATGCACCAACCAGGACTGAAGCTGGTGTATGTCTAGTAAAGTTTACATCTTTTGTGAATATTTATGGCATAAATCATTATTATATTTAAGATATGTTTTTCGATCAATATTACTAGCTAAATTTGTATATTCGAACTTAGTGTCGATGTTGCCTTCAGTTACAATTTTATATTATGTAAAAAGAAATACAAACACTATATGAATAATGTTGTTCGTTATCTTCCTCTACACAACCTACTATATCTGAATTCTTCTCACTCATAGACATATATTTGAAAAAATTGTATGTACAAGTTTTTAACATTTTTGAATGAAACTGATTTTTGAGATACATATATGTGACTATTCGGCAAGTGTAATATACATTTCTAAGATATATTCGAACTGATTTAAACAAAACAAAAAAGATTGTAGCCATTGTATTGTATCATTAATTCAAATCAAATCCAATTACAAATTAATTAGTTTCAACCGATAAAGTCATTCTTGATCTTGACTAATAAATTCAATAAATAAATTTTTATCTTCATAATAATACTTGAGCTTAGTATCTAATAATTTTATTAATTTAAAAAAAAACAAATACAAAGTCATTCATTGAAACTTCTTTTTAAAATAAATAATTATCTATTCATCTACATATTACTGCTAAGAAGTTTAATTTTTATTTTCATAAAAAAACAAAACAATTTAATGAAGATAATATAATCCATCGACTAGAAAATATACATATAGATATTATCATCAGCGTATAAAAGATAAATAGATAGAGCACGTTGAAGATCACTGTTAAACATTTTTCTACTGTTATGAAGGTAATAGTTTAACATAATTGCCTGGAAATGTTCCAAATTCCATTGTTTCTCCTTGATTTTCTTTTTCCATCATTCCACAATACCATCCATCATCACACATTTCAATTATATTAATTATATCTCCAACATGAATTTCAAGTTCATCTGGATTTTGTGGTGTATAATCATAGAGTACTTGACATCTAAAATAGAACAAAAGTTATCATAAATTCAAACTATTTAAATTTACTTTTGCATTGGTAATGATATATCCGGAATAGTATTTATGTTTTCAGTTGATGGTTGTTCTTCTTCATCAGGAGAAGTCATTGTTGATGATTGAACATATTCATTTCGATGTGATTTTTTTGATAAATTATCTATAGAAAAAAATATTTATGAGAGAGATCTTATTGGAGTTGTTAGTGATAAATAATTAAGAATGGAAAAATATCGAGTAAATTATTTGATCAATCATATACAATGTTAGACCTTCAATATCTCAATTTCTAATCTATTATTAATTTTTACCTGGTGGTTCTTTTAATGTTTCGACATACGCTGCAGGAAAAATGCCTTCAATATGATTAACACGTCCTTCATACCAATTGTCATCAAGTCGTCGTAATAGACTAACTTTATCACCCTATATAAAAATAAATCTTCGAAATTCTTTTTTATATAATAAGAAGGAGACATACTTTTCGCAATTGTAATTCAAATGTTTTTTGTGGTATAAAATCATATTTAACAATAGCTTCGCCTTCATATTCATGTTCTGTATCATAATCACTTGAATAATTCTCTTGATCATTCGATTCAATAGGAAATAATTCAACATAATTAAGAGGAAATATTCCGATTAAACCTTGAAATTCACCTTCAAGCCAATCATCATTAATACGTCTTATGACAAGAAGTATATCGCCTTTTTTAAAAGACAATTCTCTTTAAAAATATACAAACAATTTAATACTAATAATAATAATTCAAAAAAACATTCTACCTGCTTGTTTGTGCATAAAAACTATGAAGAGCAAGAGCTTTGTAAATTGGTTGAAAATTTAATTGACTATTTTTAGAGTCTGGTCTTGGTTGATTTGAATCAGGAACTTCATGAAGATTGGCCCATGTCTAGAAAATTTGAATAAAATCTTAAAAATATAATCCAAATTAATTTCACATACTTGTTGTTCATTATTTCCATTGGTAATATTATTTGTCTTTTCTATAATAAAAATGAAATACAATAAAAAGTCACTATTATTTGCATGTTCAAAGTTAATTATTGTGTTTAGTTTTTAACACATTAAACTTGCATGTTTGATAAAAATCAAATTATAATTCTATATAATTATTTATCATTTAATCGCTTAACAAACGAATGAACTTTCGAAAATTAATTCAATTTTATTGAGATTATAACGAAAGAACATGATAAACTTATCTCTGATGTGTATTTATTATGATTATTTAATAAAAAAAAAAAGACTCCACTATTTTTCTTTTTTAAAATTCCTTAACACAAAAAAACACTTCAAAATATTTAATATATTGCATAATCATATCAATTATGCTGTCATTTTTTTTTCTCGTTGCTATTACCACCAATCAATGATTGGTCATACCTATATATATATATATGTAAATTTTGTTACTATCAAAAGTGAGTATCAATCTTAATGAGACAGTTGTCTATATACATTTAATATAATGATTTCGATTGACGATGATACATCACGACACCGAAAAACTATATAAATGAATCAAAAAAAAAACATACTGATGTGTCTATTCTGTTGGAGGAAAAAATAGTGGGTATAACGATCATTAATTACCGATAATAAAAAAACAAAATTATATATACAAATGTCCTATTAACTAGAAAAATTGAGAAGAAAGATAATATGCTATCAAACAAAATTATCTTTCTTCTGAATAAGAAGAAAATCGAAATATATTTCTCAAGGTTATTTATGCCTTGTTTATTCGATGATGATGATTATTAATAAAAACATCATCGGGTGATGAAACACTTGTTGTTTTATATGAATCATTTGATATTGATTGTTGAGGATGATCCCATTCATCAACAAGTAAACTAGGTGTTATTTTATATTCACGTTGAAGTTTTGTACGTAATGGACGATAATCAAATGATTTTGATTGAGATAAATATGAGTCAAAATTATTATCATCACGATTTCGACTATTATGAGCTGTACGAGAATAGTATGAATCATGATTTGATGGTGGTGGTGATGATGATGGAATATTTTTTTCATGTCGAGTTATTAATGGACCATGTAATTTACCAGATATTTCTGCTTCATGTTGATCATAACGTGAATGATGACGATTTCCAGGTTCATTTATAGGTAATGAATAAATTTCACTTGGTTTTGTTTCACCATCACGAAATATTTCAATATAATTTCGTGAGAAACCTTTTGAACTATAAGCTGGTGATATATTTCGACTATTACGAGATGATACACGTGGTGGTGATGTATATGTTTTTCTCTCTGGTGAAGGATCTTGATAATAATCATGTCGAAATAATGGTCGACTATTTGATTGCGAACGAGTATTATTTATAGGTAAATAATCATAAGTACGATATGTTACTGAATGATCACTCGTTGTTGAATCTGTATCATCACCAACGGGTGTACTTGGTATATAAGGTTGATCTAATTGATATGATAATGGTAACCAAGTTAATTTCAAATTTTGTTGAGTTGCAAAATGTTGTGGATTTTGTTGAGTAGGAGTTCTTCTTGAATGTTCACGTTCAATTGTTAATGGTATAGTACGTGTTGTTGGTGTTGATCGTTCACTTAATCGTGAATCACGTATATCATGTACGTTGTACTTATCATTTTTTGTTGTTGGAATATTTGATTGCTCATGCCATGTTCTACGTTCTTGACGTTCAGGTATAAAAGCATGACGATTATCATCTGTCATTATTTGTCGATTATGAAAATATTTTGGTTCAACATGTTGATATGAAGTTTGTTGTGATTGTTCAGGAGTATTTTCACGTAATTGTGATGGTGCTGTTGATGATAATTTAAGTACATTTCCTCGTTCATCAAGATATCGATAGATAATACGAGGTTGAATTGGTGCTTCAGGTTGATTAGAATTACTTATTGGATGTTGTTGATAAGCACCGTCATGGAAATAATTAGGTTTAATCGGCTGTTGTAATTCTTTTGTTGCTCGAGGAATTGATGCATTTGCAGCAGCTGTATGACGTATCATAGGTTCGTTGACAAGGCTATTTCTAGTCTCATTTTTAGTTCGGTAGTCTGTTGGTTGATGAAACAGATTATTGTTATCTTTTGTTATTATTGATGAGAAAGGAGATAATTGAGATACTGGAGGTCTAACATTGTATTTTCTTAAAACAGAATCTGGTAGACGAAGAATAATGGGACTATTGACAAGAGCATCAATAACTTGATAAGTTTTAGGTTCTGTTTTTTTCGATTTTTTTTCTTTTTTCTTGTTTTTCTTCTTTTGTTTTGAGCTAAGTAATGGAGTTTGGTCTGAAGAATTTGTTAATTGTGTTTCATCTGTTGATTTTCTTTTTTTTGATGATCTTGTTATTGACTGTCTGAGTAAGCTAACATATTCAGAATTTTGTAAACTTGTTATAATATTATTAAAACGTTTATGTAATGTATCATTTTGTTTACTATTATTTGTTCCTATTGGATTATCAAGTAGAGCATCAATAACACTAAATTCATTTCCTATAGGTTTATTAGTTAAATCAGCAAGTTTAATATCTGTCGGAATTGTAGTAGTAGTTGTTGTTGTTGAATTAATAAGAACTGGACTTGTTTGTGATGATAAACGTTTATATAGATTTGTTGTTGAACTATGTTCTTTTAATACACGTGTTAACTGTTGAATAGCTTGATGATCATCAATTGAACGATTCATTTGTGCTTCAGTTTGAGCTTGATCAAGATCAGTAGTTTGATTTTTTTTTAAATCTGAACTAGACGATGTATGACGAACTTCAGGATTACTGGTTCGATCCAAATAAACTTGATATTGTTGTGTACGTTCAATAACAAGAGATTGTTGTGATGCATCTTTAGTTGAATTATCATTACTTAATTTTTGTAATTCATTAGCTTGTTCAAGTATATGATCAACTGATAGAGATGAATCATTTAATTGTAAACTTTTACGATTAAGTAATTTTGGTGATGTTGATGTTGTAGTTGTTATTGTTGTAACTATTTGTTGTGGCGATTGATGTTCACGTGGAGGAGAATCATATGTTGGTGGTGGTGGTGGTTTGAAACGTTCTTCAAAAAAATTTCGTTTTGCATTAAACGATTGTCTTGATTCATTCTTAGGATTAATATTTGTTGGACTTGACTCTTGATCATCTAAAACTTGTCGAACATTTTGATAATGATGTTGAAGTTGTTGGTTATATGTATCTGTACCATCAATACGTACTGGACCCATATCACCATCTAGACGACGTTTAGCCGCACGAGCCGATGTACCCATTAGTGGTGATGAATAAAGACGTGTTGGACTTAACGATGGTGATGTTTTACGACGATTATGATTGCTATCCACATAAGGAACAAATTCTGTTGTACTACCGCTCGTCGAAGTATCTTTGTCAATATCCATTGTTTGATTTGAAAGAATAGATAATAAAGACAGCGTGTATCCTCTTTTTTTTTGTCAATACGGTTGATCGCACAATAATGATGGATGATAGGCGCTCATCCGAATCTTCGTAATATGACGATGGTCCGGTATATAATATTATTATGTATATATTCTACCTGAATGTTTGTCGCCTACGTTTTTTTTTTCAGCGAATCGTGAGAACAGAGAAGAACGAAAGCAAAATGAGAGAGAGAGAAAAAGGGTCTGTGTCTTTATATCTACAAGTGAAGTGTCATGGGATGAATAAATAGGAGACAGACAACGACGATAATCGATGTTGATCTTAGCGTAATTTGTGGAGGTATATGACGAACATATATATACTAGTTCTTCTTTGTCTTTTCATCGTTAATTACGCGTCAACTTTGTGTCTTTGCCTCTTTCTTCTTCTTCTTCCTCTTCTTCTTCTCTCTTTTCTGTCATACATAAAGAAAAAACATGCATGTTCCTTACAGTCATCATCATCGTCACAGTATGATGCTAATAGACTTGCTGAGAGAGAGTAAAGAGGAAAAAAAATGATCAAAAAGAAAAAAAGAAACAGAGAAGGAAAACAAAGTTAGAAAGCATAAATGAATGTACAATAATACTAGAATGTGGTTATAGAAATTACTGCATTTTCGATGTTTTTTTCCTCTTATACTTCATATGCCTGTCAACGTTTTTACACATGTAAATCAATCTTCTATGTTTTTTTGATTGAATGTGCATGTTTTTCATGTTGATTCTCTGTCTACATTGATGCGTACACGCACAACAACGAAATGTAGTTATAGTATCTAATATGCATGCACACCCTTCGATTGCCGGATAGCTGTATAGTCATACGATGATGAACAATGTATGCATATATTTTTGATTTATATGATCCTTCTCTCTTATACTATGTGATATATACAACAATAAGAATATGAAAAAATGATATATGATACTTACAAAGAAAGAAAGAACTAACTAACTGAATAAAAAGAATGATAAATTAATGTGTTTAATAGCGAGAAGGTTTTTAGTTCTGCAAAAACCAATTAAGCAAAACAAGATCAGCATAGACGCATTTCATCAAGGTTTTGTGTAGGAGACATAATATAATATAATACAAGTACGAGCAGTAATGATCATTTCTAATTGGTCTCTTAAAATCGACTAGTAACTCATTTGTCTTTATTGATTTTTGATTTATCTTTTACAGTCGCTCTGTTTATTTTCGAGGACAATTTTATTGATGTAAAATCTCCTATATCGAATATAATTCTATATTATACGAATAATCTGGATATCGAGTCAAGACAAAAGCATTTTACTATCTATCAAGGTTATCATATTCTCTAACACTTTTATTTTAATCATAAAAAAATATACTACATTATTTAAAAAGTATATATGCATGTGAATGTATTCATTTGATGGCTTCTTGTTTATAATAGAAGTACTCGTCATGAGGTCATCTTTTAAAATAAAAATCAAGAAAAAAGTAAATTTTAAGTAGTTTTTTTTTTATATATGATGTAAGTTATAAATGAAAGAAAGAAGAAAAGAACAACTATAATTCAACATATGTTTATTGAAGTATATCCATATATGACTAGAACAATATGAGGGTAGTTATGTCATATTTCCTCGATGTATCTCATTGAACATGAATAAGAAGTAATCTTTTTTTCTGAATAAACATTAATAAGTGTTAGAATAATATACGAGAAGAACAAGTCATTATATAAAATGAACTACTTATCATGATAATTAAACGAGTTACATAAACATATTTCAAAAATGTACGCGTATTGACATTTACAAGATGATGAATTGTCTGCTTTATTTTAGCACAAAAAATCATTTGATTTTATATATATATATATTAATATGAATATAAATATTTTTTCTATTCGAATAAGAAGAGCAAAAAAAAAATAAACCATATGTGCGCCTACCTCGATCATTATTTGAAAACTTTTGTAGATCATTTGATGTAACATCATTACAACATAATATTCGTTTATAAATTGATTTTTGCTCATTATCTGATGTAGACATACTAAAGAAGAGTAATATCCATTAAAAAATTATTCTCAATCATTGCACTTACTGATTTGAATTCGATTGTAAATTATTATTGATCGAAGAAGAAGAAGGAACACATGATGATGATGATGTATCATTATTCTATATAATAAAAAATATAGTAATAATAATCGTGTGTGTGTGTTTTTATCTACTTACTAATTTACGTCGTTCAGTTGGAGATGAACCATCAGATTGTGTACAATAATCATCAAAACGTGTAACTTTTTCTATATGTCCATTATTTCGTTTTGGTGTTGTTCGATGATCTCTATAATAGAATTAATGAATAATATGTTATTTCTTTATTTAAATTACTTTAAACTTGAAGTTAATGTTTGTGTAGGAGAAAATGATGTTTTTTCTAGAGAACAAAACAAAAATAGATTATTTGCATTAAATGTCAGTTTTTATTTACGATTATCTTTATCAATTGTTTGTATTGCGGTTTTACGTATATAATCTTCCATGTGATCAGAATCACCGTTAAAATTATCAGGAAATGTATATGTAGGTTTATAAGGATTTTGTTGATGATCTACAGAAGCAAAAAAAAACAAATGATTATAAAATACTTCGATCTCATCCGGCGCAACTGTTCATTGAAGAAACGAGATATATAATGATGAACAATATCACGCAATATAAACAACATATCTGTCTGTATGTGGTGAATGTACAAAAATAAGCGTGGATCAATAGGATATAAAAAAAGTAATTAAGTTCTATAATAGTTGTTTATATAAATTATTTAGACAGAGATTTATAATTAATCATATAACATAGAAAAATAAACTTTTCAAAGTTTAGTATAAAATTTCATATTATATCTCAATAAACAAGTCGAACAATCTGTTATCATAAATACATAAGAAGATTTTTTTTCTTCTTGTCTATAAATTTTATCAGATTATATTGAGTATCTATTGCATCTACTTAAAATTCATTATATATGCATATGTATATATGACATAGTGAAAGTTATGACGAAGACATGAATGTACTTGAATACAATATTCTTTTTTGCATAATATTTAATGGATTAAATAGAATATTTTGATAAGAAAATCAAATAAATTTTACCTTGTTTAATTTCCGGTGATTTATGAAGATTACCATACATTTGTCTATACCATTGTGATTGATTTTTACCAACATCGTTCGTTGTTGGCTAAAAGAATACAATAGATTCAAATCACTATACATAAACATATTGTCATCTAGTTTCTCCTATATTTAATTTTGAACTCTATTCTTCTCTTTTTTTTTGTCTTTATAAAACATCGTCTATTCATCATTGTCACATATGTACTTACACATCGATTTATAATGTGACATTAAATTATCCTGTTTAAGTTCATAACTTCTTTTTTGATTTTATCTTTTATATTTTGTAAACTGAACATGTGTTCTTGTCAATTTATTATATAATACCTATAAATTCTCTTAAGAATGATAGTGCAAGCTGGTAATAATAATACAAACAAAGAAAGGACAGAGGTGAAAATGATGATACTGTTATTATTATTATTATTATTAGGAGATGATGTATATGTATGTCATATAAAATCAACTGGTATTTTATGCACATATAGATGATGATTGATGGGTGGATGAATGTATTTTGTTGAACAAAATATTAGATCGATTTTATTCAAGTTTGAGTGTTAACATTCAATATGTTACTTATTTATTTTCGAATAAAATTTTTATCCGAATCATAAGAAATAGGATGAACATAAAACTCAGCAAGTCGGATATAGGAATCCTCAAGGTTGTATCTATATAGGAAATGCATAACAAGAAATGAGAGAATGAAGAATTTCTTCATTTGGCGATTGTCATTGCATGAAATTGATATATAAATAAAAACAAAAAAGAAGATCTATTTATGTAGAGGAAAAAAAACAGATTATAATGGTATAGATGAATTAAGAAAATAAAAATAGATAAATTTGATATGATATTTCTTTTTTGTTATTTTTAACTACCTGCTGACAGCGGCAGGCAACATAATGTTGCATTATTTTATTCATTTTATCCATCAAATACATCAATTAATGTAAGTTGAACTCATCTTCTAGGAAATGATCATGCTGTTGAACGTTCATATCAATATAATTGGATGATAATGATGTCGAAAATGTCAATACTCTATATGTGATCATCAAGGTTTAATCAAGTGATAATCGTCCGATAGTTAAAAAAGTACAATCTATAGTTTGTTCTTTCTATTGCTAAAGAAGTATATAGTGATGACGATAAAATAAGATGTTGATGGGTTCATATCATTAACAACGAGCAGAAGAAAGCAAGAGAAAGGATAGTTATAAAAATGAACGTATGTTTGGTATTGTTATTACTACTATAAAGATAGGGTCCACTCATCTTGTCACTAAGTGTAATCGTACTTCGTTTGGCTATAACAAAAAAAAATGGGGTCGAAATGCAAAAAGGCAAAGAAGCCATTGATAGTCAGAGAACTACTTGATACCTATGATATGCTTGTCTTTGCAACCATAGAAGTTAAATTAAGTAATATCAAGATAAAAAAATGATTCTAAATTTTTACTGTGTTCATTTTATTTTGTTAACCTCTTAATGTCTACTAACGATATGTTTTATAACTTGTAATTCTTTAATTAAAATAAGATAATTTACAGTATTAGATTAATTTAATATCAACAAAGTACCGCTGAGTATTTAGTTATAAATTCAGTATCAATCATTCATATATAAGATGAATATTATCACCAGAAGAATATCTCGTTTTATCAATTAACAAAACTTGTAACTGAATATTATGTTATCATTATTACATATAAGACTTTCTTCTATGGAATAAATAATCTTCCCAATAGTACTTATAGCTAATTGTTAATTGAATGATAAAACATATCATTAGTATAGATGCTCTTTTTTTTTCTTGTTCATTACTTACTGTATGAGAATGAACTTCCGGTTCAATAAATGGTGTTATATTTTGTAAACGCATTGAGTTATTATTATGTTTGATATCAATTTTTTTTGATGATATTGAACGTGTTTTAGCCGGTGTTGAACAATCAACGTTTAACCATGGATTAATATCTTAAATACGTAAAAGAAACCATAATATATATATATAGATATTGTATAGATTTAATAATACCTTTATGAAGAGGAATTTGAAATTCAACACGATGAATAGGATTTTTCTGTGATAAACGAACATCTTCGGATGAAAGTGTTTGTCGATTATTATTAAAAAAGATTTTATTTTGATTTAAATCATTATCTTCAAATTTAAAACGAACACGACGTGTTGCTGGAGATATTGATGTTGATAATGGTAAAGTAGAAGAAATTGAAGGTGAACGGTGTGTTTGTTGTGTCATCGTTAAATTTTTTTGAGATGATGATGAATCAATACGTGACTATTTATATAAGAAATAAAACATCTTTATATGTATGTATGTATGTATGTCATTTATCAGCACTACTAAGAGATTATTCTTCGATTATGAAAGAAATTACTTTTTATTCTGTGTCTGAAGAGGATTCAATCAAAAGAAAAGAGGAACTTTTTTTGTGTGTATAGTACACAGTAGAAAAATATTTTTATCAAGGTAAGAAATAATAATTAGCTTTATTGTTAAGCAGACGAGAATAGAAAAGGAAATCAAATGTTAATAGATAGAATTTACCTCGTGAGGATGTAATGGTACACAAATAAAATTGAATTTATCCAAAGTGTTACTGTTAGAATCCAATGTATGATGACGACGACGATGATGACGATGATGGTATTCATATTGAAGGAGACGTGTACGACTCTGTCGGGTTTCAGTAATCATTATAATTTTAATAAACGATGAGAAACAGTAACTACGAAAAAAGAAATGTGAGATGAATAGAAAACTGAAGTTTTATCTGATTATAAAATAAGAAAATGCCTAGATGCATTTATTAACAAACATGGTTCGATTATAGAACCTGTACTTACCGTAACAAATGAGTTCCTCATGTGTATGTTTGTACACACATATATATATATATATATATATATATGTTAGTTGTTTACTTTAAGAGTCGTTCACCGATCTTATATCTCTTGTAATCTTGGTATATATTCTCTATTTCTCAGCCAAGATTCATAACAATTATAATATGCCAGTCAGTTTGACGACAGGCATAAGAACTGAGTTGGAAAATCTCTCGTGCGACAAACGATGCAATTCGAGGTCGTCGCCAACGTTCTCTCCTTCAACCAGATGATGAAAGATCTATGTACGTATGTATGTATAGATGCTATCGCGTTCTATTATGACAATTCTCTCTTGCTTAGTTTGCTAGAAAGACAGAACGACAGCATCAGTCTACTTACATACTCTCACATATAGAGAACATAAAAATGGTATACTAAGACATAACCGATGATGACGATGATGATGATGATGATGCTGCTGCATGGGCGGATGTTTTATTGGAAGTTGGTTTGCATAGCTCTAGAGTACAATATTACGTATCGATGGATATCATTCTTCCATAGTTGATGAAAGGCACAAGAGAAAGAAAGAGAACAAGATGTAGGAGAAAACGAAGGATATGTTGTCAAATAATTATTCTTCTCTATATTTTTTATTACCATGAGTATGAGTAGATATCACTTGAATAGTAGAAATGTTCTTCGACCATTTGTAGCAACGTGTCTAATACTCTCATTCTTTTATTCTATTTATATTATCCTATGGTCTTCCGCTCGATGATTATGACCTTACAGATAGATGAAGATGTCAGCTAAATATATCAAATTGATTCTTAATTGAAGCATACCAAAGATTACGGAATAATTACGTTTTATTTTACGAATATTAAATTTACAATAAAAATAAAAAGTTATTAGCTATCCAAAAGATTTCATTGAAATACAAAAAAGTATGTTATATTTAATATAAATGTACTGATGTAGAATGATCATGACGATTTGAGCGAAATTCAGAATAAGAATTTCTATTAGCAATTTGTTCTTCCTGATTATTCGATTCGAACATTATCGGCTGTTGCTGTTGTTCTGGTTCCTAGAAATATAATTTAAATAAAAAAAATAATATCGAAAAATTCTTCTTACTTCTGTTTTTTTCTTCCAACGAATAAGAGCAGTTCGAGATATTTCACTTTCGTTTTCTAATCGTTCTTTCCGTCTTTTTAATACGATTTCAAATGCAAGAAAAAAAATTCCAACTGTCGCTCCAACAATAACAAGTAAAAACACACCTTTCAACAGCAACAAAAAAAAATAGTCATTCATCTAAATCGACAAAATAAATGAATCTATTCTTACTGCTCATATTATCAACTCCGAGTGTTGCCGGAGATGATGAATCATCAGCACATTGTGTCTCACTAAAAATTTCAAATAAATATAAATTTAATAAATTTTAAAAGAAAAATATAATTTTATTCAAACTGTTTTGCATATATCCAATGATTATCAAGTATTTCCATAAAACCTTTTTCATGGAATGATAATATTGCATGTGATAACGGATTAATCCATGCATCTTTTTTTCTTAATGCAATTCCATAACTTGATCGTCCAAATAATTCACCAGCTGTAACTAAATCACAATCTTTAGCTGCTTCATATTCAAGTCTTGGTGAATCCCAAAAAAATGCATTTAATTTTCTACAGGAGAAAAAGGAATCTATTAAAATAAATCATCTTTTTTCTTTATTATTAACTCATCGCGTAAATCTGATATGGCTTCATCAACTGTTAAATAATTTTTTGATTCCATCGTTCGATACATTGTAGAAAATTCTAATAATAAAAAAATAAGAAATTTGAATTTAATATCTATAGAACATACCAACTTGTCGTTTGAAATACATATCTACTGATGAACCTTTAACTGTTGCATAAGTAAAATTATCTTGAGGATTTCTTAACTTTAAATAAAAGAGAAGATAACAAAGTTTTAATATACATCAAATAAAACTTTACTCGAGCATCATTAATTCCTGATATACTAGTTTTTGGTTGATCGAGAACAAGAAAAGCAGCTAAATTAGCTGTATAAGAAGCAACCATAATCATAGTAAAACCTGCCCATACCATACCAAGTACACGAGCAGAAAAACTTTTTGGTGTACCTAATAAATAAAAATATAATATTAAAGTATATATTTTTCTTCTTTTATTCTAACCTTCTCCAATTCCTGAATTTAGAAGGACTCCCCATGTAAACCAAAGTGCACGTGATAAATTAAGTGGATCTTCCTCGTCTTCACTGTCAACTGAAGAATTTGTTTCTAATTTTTTATCTTGTCGTGATGCAAAACGAAGTCGATCTGGTGAATAACGATCAAGTAAATAAAGAACAAAAGCAACAATATGTACAGATAATAACACCATTATCCATAATTCTCCTTTAAATGGTTGTAAAAATGATCCTAAATTTGATGTACTATGATTCTAAATATTTTCAAAAATGAATACAAAAAAATTCTTTGTCATCTTAATTTTACCTTTCGTACAAGAACTGTTATACCATGATATTTATATGGTTTTGTAAATTCAATATCATCTGCACGTTCAGGACTCATTGTTAATGGAGCAATAATCATATCAGCTTGATAATTTATTAATTCACCAATCATTCCATCCCATCTTTTTTGTTGATCAATCCTATCCTATTACATAGACAACAAAATAATTATCATTATTTAAAAATATTTCGAAAGATATTATTCTTTTACTTTTTCAAATGATCCATATTTTCCATCAGCGACAAGATGTAATGTAAAAACAAAACTTAAATTTTTTGATAATTCTTGTAATAAAGCAATACAATAACCATAACAACAATATTGTTCATATTCTTCACCATTGGAATCTAAATGAACAATTAAAAATTTTAATTTTTTTCTTATTTAAATTTATTACTATTAAGATTTTTATGTGTGCAATAAACTTCAGATAATGGATCACAATTATTACCAGGACGAGCAAATATAAAAGGTTTTTCAACAATTGTAACAACCTAAACAATAAATAAATATATATCGAAATAAGAAAATAAATTTTGATACCGAAACATTTCGTCGTGTATGAACTCCATCAGGTTTTCGATTGAGTCCATTCGGCCAAATAATTTGATCTTCATTAAGTTTTAATTCTGTCCGATCAATCTACATAGTTTAATAGAGACAACTAAAAATAACCATACTGGATATAATTCAATTAAAATACTTACAACTTCTCGACACATGCTACTTGTCGTACAAATACTCTAAATGAAAAAGATGTGATATTTAGATTCGAATAATTTTATTAAGTAATAATTATCTCGGAGTATCCAATTGAATATAATAAAGTTCACTGTCACTCAATTTTCTTTGACATTATCAATCGTACTTACTGTATTCGAACGATAAGTACCAACAACTGTTAGTTGTCCATGTTGAATATTAATTATTTCATATAATGATTCAATTCGATCACCTCCTTCATTAAATGAAATATTACCTGTAATACCACCTTCAACACTTGAATTAAGAAAAGTTCTGAAAAAGAAAGAAATATTTCATATATGTGTATATATACTCTTAATATGAATGTATACTGAAAAACATCTCGTCCATAAGACCAAGATTGCATTGATGAACAATTTAGTACAGAAATCTTTTCTGACCAAAATAAAGGAGGATGATGAATAAATTTACTAAATGTATTCATAATAAGTTGAGTTGCATCAATAAGAAGATTTTCTTCAGTAAATGAACTGTGTAATTTAACACCAAGTATACCTAAAAAACTAATATACATATAAACAAAATTTAATTAATTTATATGAACCATCAAAAAGTGCTGAACTATTTGATACTAATACACGTTCATTAATAATCCATACGAAATTTTCTAATTGTTGTAATCGTACAACAGCTGTTAATAATTCATCTGTATCTTCAATTCTAGAATAAAAATTATTTTTATATTAAAAAGAATCAATTGAAGTTTCATACCCAGCATGTATGATATAAACACGTGCTAATAAACGAGCTTCAGATGTTAAATTAGATATTAATGACGTCAAATTCGTTCCAGATATATATTCTTCCATTCGTTCAATCTATTAATTATAATCAAGGAAAGATTTCAAATTTTAATGAAAAATTAATTAATTTCTATGTAGAATATTTTTTTTTCATACATTTTTTTACACTCTAACAACCTTTGATAATAGTAGGCGTTTCTTTACATAATTTCGTCATTTTCAGATAAACAACAATTCAATAAATTTTTTGTTGATCATCAATCTAAATATATGAAATTCTATGATGCTTGGTGCAATTGTATAATGACGTTATTATGAGATTTATATAGAAAAAGGAATTTGTCTGAGGGGCGAACGACGACGTGTGATAATTTCATTGGAATGTCACTTTGAATTATTTGATGATACATCTATGTCTGTGAATGTTGCAAATATGGTCTCAAACCGAATCAATGAAATGTTCACTTAAGTTTCTATGAATACTATTGATGAGACATCTGTCACATTCAATAATGATTGCGTATATTATCTTTAGTTTCACACGCATGTTATATTACTATTTTACAAATATTAAAAATCAAAGTACCTGAATATCAGAATCATCTGTAAGCAATTGAAATCTTGATGCTACCATTCGACTTTCTTCTTCTTGACTAAATATTAATACAACTTTGGTATATTTTAATTGCCGAATTATACTAAACCAAGCATCAGCTTCATATAAATACGGTGGTACTAATCGTATAATAAAATCATATAAAGCCTAACATAGAAAAAAAATTTTGTATTTTAATTTTATTCTAAATTCTATTTACTTTATCAGAAAAAATATTATCTCTTGATGCTATAGTTATAATTGGTATATTATAAAAATCAGATATATATGAAATACCAGATAATGTTAAATCATTATTATCATTATTTGTTGAACTACCAACAATAATTATTTTTGCATGTGATTGACCACCTACTTCACATAATGTTGTCATTGTTAATAATGGATTTGGATCAAGAATAAATGATTGTGATGAAAATTCTATTTCATTATTTATATTTAAACTTGTTTGATTAAGTATTTTAATATGTTCATCATTGTTTAATGCACCTAATATAGTAATATGTAAAGATTTCATTATAGAAGTATCATAATCTAGTTTGTTTGGTACTATAGTTGTTGTATCAATAATAATATCTGTTTTTTGAAGTTTAACAATTGGAAAAAATATTAAAAAAATGTAAGAATTCCATAATAGAGTCATTGTGATAAGTCAATACTATGTTATGTTATGTTATGTTAACGTCTTAATAGAATAACAAAATTCTTTTCTTTTTTTTTGTCTGACTATGAAAAGCGAGACTAATGAAAAACTAATGTCTTCGCTAGAATGAATAGCTATAGACCATTAGAGAATTCTGGTATTGGCAAATAATAATAGAAGATGTCGTAGAAAAACATTGACAGACAAGTTATTTAATAAGCCAGTTTCTAATACATATTTCCGATGAAGTACTAACTCATATGTATATATATAGAGAGAGAGAAAGAGAAAATTAACTGTTTTAATAACTTTCATCCTATAAACAGATGGTAATTTATATATTTGCCAAGGATATAAACAATCTATACATAATTATAGTTAATTTAATAGAGAGAATCTTGATTGTATACGTATTCTTGTAGATATATTTCTCATTGATAAATAAATTTCAAAAAACGAAAATTTGAAAATGATATAAACAAAAAAAAGTCCTTTAAAGCAAGGATAGCAGCTCTCTGTACAAGCATGTCACTATTTAATATTAATAAGAGCGAATTTATAATCAATGGATGATATGCATTAAAACAAATACCATTTCGATCATATGATTTACTAATAAATACAAAAGTCTTTCACGTAATTTACATAGGTAATTAAATAAAATTTTATCATTATTTACACTAATCAAATCTTATGATAAAAACCTTGATTTCAAGTTTGTCTTTTCAATTTTTCCTATGAAAATCTTTTAATTATCAATTCTCTTATCATTTATTTTTATGATTTAAAATTCTAATACAATCCTTAGAAATTTTATTTGAACAAGAGTAGAGGAAATTCATTTAAATAACTATGGTCAATAACGAGGACACTTCCCATCTGATTGCATATTGAATACATAATAAATATAGTACTATTAACGACTCTATATATGATATTAATCTAGTTCTGCTTGATTGCCCTGCCGTTTTTTTTACTATTTCATATATAACTTCATTTTACAAAAATCATATTGAGCTGATAGACATACACATATGCAGCCACCACAATCAAATCCTGTAAGTATATATTTTATAAATATATGACCATGCAAGTGAAATATATGTTTTAATACATAACTATGATTACGTTTTATTCATATTGAGATATTATCAAGGTAACAACTGATAGATATGTATATATGGAAATAAAATATCGTTATAAGAACTTTCATATAATAGAATTATTCATTTTGTCAAATGAGTTTTTTCATTTGTGGATTATAGATTGTCTTTATTTTGTTATTCGTGCCTTAGATTATCGATGATAATAATATCCGAAAAAAAAAACATTCATTCATTACCATGTAATTGTTTTTTGTTTATTATTATTCATGATGAAACCAGAAGACAAAATGAAAGAATGCTAGCAAACGACTAAAGATATGAATAGAAAAGAACGATAAAAAAGAAGTAAACAGCTGAAGCACCAATAGAAGTTGATTTTTATCGCAAATATGTAGCGAAAGAAAGAGCAAATATTTTCTACTCAGAATATTCGCAAGAATTCTTGTTCTTTTTTTTTTTGTTTCTTCTTGCATTTGTATAACTGTGATAACTATTTTTATTTCATTACCACGTTTGTACAACGAACAATACAAGAAGAATTAAAAAGCGACGGTCTAACCGTTACGATTATTATTATCAATAGTTTGATAACTACTGTTTCATCTTTTTGTTGACGAACCGGTGACAATCGCTTTCATTTGTTATTATCAATGATCTTTCATCATAGAAAATAAATTTGTCCATGAGCATATCTCATTATAATATTTTTTATATAATTAATATGTTCACTTTTAATCCATTTACGACAATGGAAGGTCTTGATCTTGCCATTAACGATGAAATTGTTCACGCAAAAACATCACGTAGACCAACATTTACATTAAGTTCATCATCATCATCATCTTCTTCTTCATTTTCATCTACTACTAATCTAATGGAACATCATTACGAACGAAAAACAACAATAACAACAACAACAACCACCACAACAACAACATCAACAATGATGTGTTCTTCGTCATTAGCTAATAAATTTATTTCAGAACATCGGCCACTAACACATTCCCAATCGTTGACACTTGATAATCAACGACGTCGTCCAATTATTCATGATCCTTATCAATTATCACCAAATCATGATATTCTAAATAATTGGATGATTGTAAGTTTTTTTTCTATTGAAAATTTACTTGCATGATTCTTTTCTCACTATGCGCATCAAAAATTCGATTAAAATTCTCGGATAATTCGTTTTCTGATTATAAATCTATGGGCAAATGAAAAACATCATTGGATTATATACTTCATCAAACATAAGATAAACGATAGAGGTGACAAATGAGGATTGATGAAGGCTTGTTGTTGTCTTTGTAGATATTTATACTTAGGAAAGTAATGACCCCTTTGACTTTTACCATGTTTTCTTACATATATATATACATACATACATCAGCAAATACGAAATCAATATCTTACATTATTTTCCTAATTACCATACTCAAACATTGATCAATATAACATTATATATACCCATCATTGTCGAAATTCGCTGATGTTTTGTAAAGAAAATAAAAAGTTCTATTTTTATTTCTTATCCCGGAAATCTAATCTTGATTGTTGAAGCAAAGATCTGTTATTTTTGCTCGAGTTTATTTTCGTATGATCCTTTACTATGATATCAATCAAGTGTGTTTATAAATTTCATTTTAACATATAACTTTTTTTTGCATCTTTGGTAATTTATCTATAATTAAAATTATCTAATAAAAAACAATATCATTTGTTTTTTAGTATTCTTTTTATAAAATTCTAAAAATTAAGATGTGATATTTCCTATGGACATATCAATGATATATAATAATCGTAATTATACTAACATCTTGATTCATTTATCCGCCTTCACGTACATTCCTAGTTTGTAAACGTCAATATATGTATATATGACAACAACAACAACAACAATTCCGTCTTCAAATGGTCCCAAAATAGCAATAGACAAAATCAGTCTACATCAATTTATCATGACAAACGAACGATATCTTATAATCATACATCGATTAAACATTGTATAACTACATAGAAAACTTAAGTTGTGTTACTCCTAGGTTGTCTTTTTAAATTTGACAACAATAGAAAATAGAGGATATATTTCCAATGAAAAAAAATACGGAATCATTTTATATTTTTATTTCCCTAGACAACAACGGGTAAAAGTCGACGGGAATTAAGTGAAGTACATGGATTTTCCGAAGAACAGATTGCTGGTAAATAAAAGGTTAAGTATCTATTTTTATTAATTATTTATTTATTTCAGTATTTGAAGAATCATTTTCTCTGCTGGATAAAGACGGAGATGGTAATATAACAAATTATGAAATTCGATCACTAATGAATTCACTTGGTTATTCACCAAGTGAAGAAGATATTTCAGCTGTGATATCAAAAGTTGATACTAATGGTAAATAGATTTTTTGTAAAATAAAATCAAAATAAATTCTGAAATTTTTTAGGTAATGGTAGTGTTGATTTTGATGAATTTTTAACAATGATGCGTCGTCGTCGATCAACTTGCGATAGTGATACAGAATTACAACAAGTTTTTAAAGTAATTTAATTGTTTTTCCCAAAATAAAATCTTTGTCTGATTTATTTTCTTTTTAAATTAAAACAAAAACAGGTTTTCGATAAGAATAAAGATGGTTTTATTGATAAAGATGAACTTTATGATATGCTTTCAAGACTTGGTGAACATATAACTGAAGTAAATAGATATTATTCTTTATTTCCGATATATAATTTTGTCTCTTTTTAGGAAGATGTTAAAGAAATGATTGAAGAAGCTGATTGTTTTGATAATGATGGCAAAGTATCTTATGAAGAATTTAAAGCCATATTATATTCGAAATAAGTTTTAAAAACATTTTTCAATAATTCAGACGAGTATATTTACTTTTGTTAATACAAATTTTTTTTTTCTTGTTATTATTGAAAACTTTGCAATAATTGTCTTTATATATCAGCTTACATGACAGTCATGGGCTTGAACCCGTGACAAACAATGTATATATATGTATAAGTAAAAAAAAACGTAAACAAAAAGAACACATGTTAGAGAGAGAGAGAGAGAGAAAAATCAATATAATAAAGTGTCATTAACGAGCACCAATATTGCAAAAAGAAAATGAGATTTACGTCTTTCTTCATTTCCAAACAAAAAGAAAAAGCATAAACACAGGTTTAGATTATTATTTAAAATGGAAGCTGTTTTTTTTCTTGTAAACATATATATATTGAGAGAAAGAAAGAGAAATTTGGACGGAGATAAATATTCATAATATTTAATTCACAAAATTATACAACAATATCGTTTTTCATGATTATCATCTGGAACATGACCATGAATTTCAAAATGTTTTTCGGAAGTATGATTTGATAATGGTTCTTTTGTTGTTGTCGTTAGATGATTACCATTCGATACTTTATGATTAGTTGTATCTTTGAAATCAAGTGTAAGAAAAGATGGAGAAGTTACTGTAGCAGAAGGAGAATTATTTGCTGGTGGTAATGTTATACCATTAAGTCCACGACGTCGTTCTTCACGTCGTCGTTTAACATCACTTAATGATTCAGAAGTTGTTTGAGTTAATGCTAATGATGTTGGAACTTTCAACGGAGCTAATGGTAATTCAATTGTAGATGTATTTGTTGAGTTTTTTATTGAACTTGTTTTAGTTGAATCATGTACAGTCGAATCAATTGGTATTACTGAATTATTTGAATGTTCTTCTTTAGGAAGAATTTTTGATGGTGTTATACCATTAGTAATTGTAGTATGTTCATCAGCATCTTCTTGTATTTTATCTTTGGCTTGCAATACATCAAGAAAATTTTCATTTAATTTTTTTGTTCGTTCAGTATTACGTAATGATGCTCGACGTATTGAACTTGTTCGATTTAATGATGAACCACTACCATATGGAGATGATATACTAGAACGAGATTCATATAATGTACCCGTACGAGATACAATACCATTTGGAATAGAATTTAGGCCAGCTTGAACACGATTCGTTGTTAAATTAGTTGTCTTTGATTTGTGTTCTGCTTGAGCAACAGCTGCGGCGGCTGCTGCAGCGGCTGCAGCTGCTGCTTTTTCTTGATTACGTATACACTGTTCTTGAAAATCTATCATATATGTACGTAATTCAGGATCATCACATAGATCAACAGCTGAACGGCCATCTGGAGTTTTTTCATGTATATCTGCTCCGGCTTCAATTAATTGAGCTAGAAGAATAAATATGAAAACAACCTTTTTTTTTTGATATTATATAAATTTTCTTACTAAGTATAGGTTGTAGACACCAAAATGCTGCTGCATGCAATGGAGTCCAACCATCTGCATCTTGAAGATTTAATGATACATTTTGGTCAAGTAAATATTGAACAACATTTTGATAACTATTTGCACTTGCTATATGAAGTGGTGTTGCACCTTCATCATTTCGATATGATAGAATATCATCGATTGAACGTGATGATGATAAAGATTTTTTTACTAATTTCTGTAAATCATGTAACATTTGATTTTCAACTTTTGTTCTCATATTATCAATCATTTCTTGTGTTATACCAATACGATCCATTTGTGATTCAATATAACTAAGAGTTCGATCTTCATCACATATATCATATGGCATATTACCATCAGCATTTAATGCCATTAATTCAGCACTATTTTCAATAAGAGTTTTACATATTTGCGTATGACCACAAGTAGCTAATAAATAAGAAAAGACAAATTTTACTTATACATTTCTTCCATGAACTAATTCAGTAGAAAACAATTTACCTGCAGCATGTAAAGGAGTCCATAAATCTCGATCTCTTGCATTTACATCACCGCCAAATTCAATTAATAATCGTAAAATTTGATCACTATTATCAATTGAACATTGATGAATTGGTGTTAGACCATCTTCATTAGTTGCATTTGGATTATATTTACCTGATTTTAGAAGACTACGAACTTCATCAACATCTTGACGTGCTGTAGCTAGAATTAAATATATAAAAATTAATAAATTAGCGAGAGAACTTTTCGTTTTTATTTATTGTACTTGATAAGATGCTTTAGATATGAAAACGAAAAGTTTATTTTTTTAAGATCAACAGAAAAAAAAATTAAAATAATAATTGACAATTTTTTTTGTCTGAGTGTTTATTTAGTTTGACTAACTGTTTACCTAACAATTAACGAAAATGTATGGATGAATAATAGAAAGAAGAAAGAGAATTACTTATATACCTTCTAATAAGACGATATTTTGTGGAAATTGAACGAGAAGTTTCTTGGATCGAATTGATTTCGTTGTTTTATGAATACCATTTGTTTTAGTTGATGAAACTAGTGTATCTTTATCTGATATACCACCATCATATTCGTTCCAATTTTCAAGTTGTTCTTGTCGTCGTCGTTTAGCAAGTTTTAATCGTTCTTGTGCTGTTAGTTTTTCTAACAGCATCATATCCGTAACAAGTTCTGAATGTTCCATTTTTAATCACGTTTCGATAATTATTTAATCAATAAATTACATGCTTTTGTTATTATTAAATTGAATGTATAAAACAGTAACTAAAACGAAAAAAGAAGCATTATATAATGATGATTATGATCGTCATAAAAACAAGTTATATGATATCTAAATACATATATTATTTTATGATCTATAGTCGAGATTTATTTTTCTCTGTTGACTTAAAGATAATTACGTATGTAGAAATACATCAGTTCTCATTGACCATAAATGAGATGTTCATAATTTTTTTCTCTCTTTTTTTTTATCGAAGACGTATCGTTAAAACGAAATAAACTAATGCAAAGCAGTGGATTGAATGAAAAAAAAAGGAAGAAAAAAAATTAATGAAGAGTTCTTTTTTTTTTTTGTTCTTTTATCGTTTTTTTTCTTGTTATATTTGTGTTAATCAAATTTTTCGCATGTGCTCTTTTTGCTGTCCTTTTGCACTAGGACAGAAAGAAAAAGGTAGGCGTCATCACAACTGATGCACAAATTGCCAAGGTTCCTTCTCTTTTTTAGAATAGTCTCATTAAACAGTGACAGACATACACATTTATATGCATATTTATAGGAAAAAAAAACACATTCTCACTCGTTGATGATTAACATAATTCTTGCGAGTAACTTTTTTATAGGATGAATAAGCATTCTCTTAATCAATCATTCATAAATTATATATAATCTAAAATAAACGAAGTGAATGATCTATAAATTGAAAAACTGTTCTTTACTCTGTTTATTCTAATTAATGAATTTAAATATCAGCAAGATTTGTTTTTTTTTCGATATTGATCTAATCTTTAGAATGTTATAAGAATATCATAAATTTTATTTATTTCAATCGAAATAATAAGTATATATTTGTTTTTGTTTTGTCATCACTATAAACACGGACGAAAAAACAAAAGTAATAAGAGAGAAAGGCAAAAACAAAAAAAAAATAAAAGTGACATAAAACATGCAAGGAAGAAAAGTTTAGTGTGAGTTAAGATCATTTCTCTTTTGTTAACCTACAGGATGCGTTCGAATAAGTGTATATTGAAGAACAAATGTATCCTGTGGTGATACTTGTTGAGGTTCGTTTTTGATGATTGATTTTTCTGGTTTAGGTAAATTATAAGATCCACCAGTTGATGATTGAATTTGAAAACCTAATCTTAATAAACGTTGTAAAATATCGGTATATGTTATTGATCCAAGATCAAAACTTGAATCATAACAATCATTTGTTATAAACGCTCGATCTGGTGCTGTTGGTAAAATTTGTACAATAACTTGTTTATCACCATGTAATTGGAAATTTTTTGAATTTGATGTAAGAACATTTCGAACAAGTAATGAAAGTATTTCAAAACGGTGAGATGATCCTGTTGCCACTGCCATTATTCTCGTTATCTGAAAACTAAACAAAACCGTAACCAAAACGTTTTTTTCTTTCATATTTTTTTCATAACCATAAACTAGAACTAATCTTATTTTATGATATAACACTATGAAATCAAATAAATGATAATATATACGTTTAAACACACAAGTAATACCTTTCATGAAACCAATATCATCAAATAAACTATAACACTGTAATAATATAACAAACAAGAAAAAAAAACAAGTTGGTTAAATGAATAAAAACAAACAAATCCAAAGAAAAAAAAAATTTCCTGAGAACAAAAAACAACCGGCTGTAGTAGAATAGATCGATATATATTTTTATGAAGAATTACGTTTAACAAGTATATATTGAGTACGAAGAAGACCTTGTGTACCAGCACCTGATGAACCTTCAATATGGAAACCAGATTTTAGAAAAGCTTCAAGTACTTGTGTATATGATTGTCGATCAGGATCAGCTGGTGAATTATAATATCCCCAACGAAAAGCAGTCTCCGATGATTTAGGTAATACTTGTTTAATGATATCGCGAGAGCCGTGCTTTAATAAATAGAAAAAGTATTAAATAAAATAATAATAAATATTAATTATTAATTTTACTAATTCAAAGAATTTTCCATTTCCTGTTGACAACCAAATAACCATTGATACAACATCGAGATTGCTTGATGAATTAGTAGATGATGTTTGATCACTTTGTTCCATGTTGATTGATAAAGGTTATTTTCTACTTTTAATGTGTTATAATCTAAAGAATAGACATCAATCATTATGGATCAGAAGATAAAAGATAAAAAATCATTTACATTTCTTTATTTCTTAAGTAAAGTTAAGCTTTCTTTCACTATCTATATTCTTATCTTTAACTGCTTGTCTCTGTTTCTCTACGTGAGAATATTATCTACGAATCATTGTTGTTCAAAATGATTAGCTTATTAACGATATTTTTTAATTGATTTTATGAAAATAATGCCATATAAATTTATTTATTATTCATCTATTAGTGAAATAAGAGCATTAATCAGAAAAATACATAGTTCTTCTGTTTGTAAATGTACGACATCTGGACTGTATAATTTATTTTAAACTAAAAAATTTGATAATGATTTTATTAGTTTAGTATAATATTAAAATCTTAATCGAATGTTTGAATATTATTATATTTTTCTGTAAAAAAATCTGAAGTTTTAGTTGTACTACGTACATGATGAACTATTTTGCTATTTTACATAAAAATAAATCCTACTTGTATATATAGAATATTAAGTAGGAATACAAATATTATACTCCTTCTCAATAAAAACAACTAATTCTACAATCCTTGTCCGTGTATAATCGTAACATTCAACCAAGTGGAAGTATTATATTTCTTGCTTTCAATGAATCATTTTCGTAGACATACTTATGTCTGACATAAAAATTTGTTAAAAAAATATTTAATGAAGTGTAGAAATTTTTCTACTGACTTATTTGTTCATATAGAATTAAGATACAAAAAAAACTGAAAGATCAGTTTGCATTGTTTTACTATAAAACAATCTTAATATGTTAATCATACATAATAGAAGTCATAATCTACAGATATTGTTGAATTGTTAGATTAAAAATTGATTTTTTTTTGATCTTTTTTTGATAAAGGTAACTTTATCTTAAATTCCAAAAATTGATTTTTCGCTAAATAAATTAGTTTTCATCTGTTTGTCTTTTCGCGGTTACTCAACTTATATGTAGATATCCAGTGGTGAGCTACTGTGGTGGCATGGCATGGCAATTGCCGCGCCATATATTTTAGTTCTGGCCTGCCACTTCTTAATTGATATATTCAATCATTTCAACAATAACATCCATTTATTCATAATAAAACTGGAATCATTATATTAATAGTTTTAGATGGGATCACTGGACAGAAGATAAAACGTCGTGCTTCCTTTCTCTCGCTTTCTCATGTTCCGGCTTTTGTATGACACTTGCATATGCTTTTTCGTTCTAGTTATTGTTTTTATTTTTTTTTGAAGTTTTAATATTATGTGCATATGTAATGTCATAAACTAAAATCAATAAAAGCTTTGTTTTAAAAAAAAGAAAAGTTGGGATGATGAGTAATATATTTTCTAGTGTGACATTTGAAACAAAGAAAGCATGTGAAGTCGGTTGTAGATATTATCTTCGTGTTTCATTACTTACATCTATGTTTACAATTATTACACTTTCACTCAAGTTTGCTTTTACACTTTTTTCTTAGATGGATTCCATTACTAATTGAGATTATTTAAACTTTAATTGTATATTTATTGAATATGTATTGAAAGTTCTACTGAGTGTTGTTTATTTGCTTCTAGCATTTGTAGTTATTGAACGTGCTATTACTGTCAAACAAGATGTTAAATTTAATAAGATTAAAGTTAAAAAATTGGCTAAATGGATTATAATTTGTACTTATATCATCATTGCTCTAACACATGTTCATAATCATATCTATCGTCGTCTTATTGATGATAATGACGAAGATGTACAATATCGTCGAACATGGTGCCATTTTTAATGTCATCGCTTCAATTTTACAATTCAATCATTTTAGCTATTCATTGTCTTATTCCATTTTCACTTAATATTATATCAGCATTACCAATTATTATTAATACTGTTCGTCAACGAGCTATAGTTCGAAAAGAACAACTTTACATGCATCAATTACGTAAACAATGCTATGAATTTAAATATTTATTTATTAGTCCAGTTATTGTTGTTGCCTAAGCATCACTTTAATTGCTTATTTCATTTGTATCTGGTTGTATGAAAATAAGTAGAAAATATCTATGGTTTTATCTCACTAGTTATCTTCTATCGTTTTTAGCATCTATGTTTCTTTTTATTATTTTTGTTCTACCATCTGACACCTATAAATAGGAGTTTAGTCAAACAGTAAAGTGCATTCGACGATACATACGTATATCTGATCACTAATGGAAAAAGGAACCGACCGTCAGTATTTATATTTCTTTCGCTTTATGTATAATATTTTGTCTTTTTTTTGAGACACGGTTGAACCGAAGTTAACATCTACATTCTCGAGGATGTGTGGTAAAATTTATATTATTTATGCGCATCCTCACCTATATCTAGGTCCTCTCGACAGACATCCACTGAACTTTATAATCTGCATTTTGTCTTGAATAAATGTTATTTCCAAATATCTTTCACTATTAAATTTTTCTCTGGATACATATTTTAATATCAAAAAACCCTTCGAACAGTAGGGTTACACAAGTTCAAGGTCACGAACCCATTCAAATGAACCAAAGAACTGCTAAAATAGTTCTTTTAAACGAACCAAACATTACAGATTCCTATTAATTTATATTTTTGGTGAATAACTGGGTACAATTTCTCATTCTCATTCTAATATTGATTAGAAAAATTTGAATATAATGACTCGTGACTAAAATATCGGATGTAGGAAGTTGGCATTTTCTGACGGTTGTATATAGGTAAGCACATATATTTTTATATTTTTTTGATTTATATCGCCATTAGTAATATTGTTTTCGCTATTAATCATGGCTGCTCTAGGTTTATAGCTGTGTTTAATGACAGAAATTTGAATAGAATGACATATGACTAAAATATCTGATGTAGAAAGTGAAAATGTTCCTACGATTGTACCCAGGTAAACAAATATATTTTTATGATTTTATGATTCATATCGCGATTAGTAATAGTTTTTAATGCTATTGGTCATGACTGCGCTAGGTTTTTAGCTGTGTTTGATAAGATCAAATATTTTTAAAGGAAGTACTTGCAATGTGCTATTTCGTAACATATGAGTAAAAAATCTATAAACCAATGGTAATTAATTGTCGATTAAAATGTAATGACGAATGAATATTGTACAGTATATATACATCCGTAAATACGAGAAAGTTACCATTGATCCGAACGAAAGTTGGATTGATATGACGAATGTTGCTGTTTTTGCTGGATGGATTATTGTCATTATTATTGCAAACGTATGTGCGATACCAACAGTAGAAGTAAGTTGAATGTGAATTTGAAGTTGTGTTAGGAATTTAATACATGAGTTTAGGTTTTTACCAAGGATGCACCAGGCAATAAACAAAATCTAGAACAAATACGTAAGTTACTCTTTAGATAATTTTTCTTCTAGAAGCCTTTAATTAAATTCTTATTTTTTACTTTATTTTTCAGTAGATGTAATTGAGGGAGATATAATTCCTACTCCAACATTTCGGAAAGCGGTAAGTTGATAACGATGTTGATCCAGTTTTGATAATATTTTATTTGTCTCATTAAACTCAGCGTGGATTGGTAGGAATTGGCAATAATGTACGCTGGACCGATGGTATTGTTCCTTACGAGTTTATATCCGGATATAGTATGTATCATCTAGAATTGTATTTCTCACTTAGATAATCGGAATGAGAATTCTGCTTTGCTAAAAATCTCATTGAATGAAAATCATATTTTACTTTTAAAATCTATTTTATAGCGGTTGAACAACAAGCGGAAATTGTGACTCGAATGCGCAAATTAGAAAACTTGGTCGCCATCAACAACAGTCGATGCATACAGTTCCGACCAAAAGTCTCTGGAGATTTGTATTACCTCAAAATACAAAATGGTGCAGATTGTCGTTCAATGGTATGTGAAATCTATCATGCTAATTTGCTTCTGACAACTTATAATGTATTTTTTTAGATTGGTCAAACTGGAGGTGGTTTGATGTTGGCATATCCACTTTGTTTTGATGATGGAAGAACTTTTCATGAACTTTTGCACACATTAGGTTAGCGACAGGACTGCTCGTTTATTCGATATATTTTTGAAATGTTTGTCTCTTTTATTTTTAAACAGGTTTTTATCATGAACAATCACGAAGTGATCGTGATTCTTATGTTAGATTATATCCGGAGAATATGCAAACAGGTAATATTATTTATTTCTCTTACGAAATTTTAGCACACAACACTAAATCAATTAATTTTTTTGTCTTATTCTTTAGGAATGGATCAGCAATATCTGGTCTATAATAATCCGGTTGCTGATACATTTAATTCTTCATACGACTATGCATCAGTTATGCACTACGGGAGATATGATTACTCCAAGAACAATTTATCAACAATGGAACCAATTCAATCAAACATTAAAATTGGTCAACGTTATAATTTAAGTAATGGTGACATTCAACTAATTCGTCGGTACTATAATTGTTTATCTAATGGGCCTACACTACCACCATTCACAGTACCAATAAAACCAGGTAAAAAATCTTTACATACATACACATATTTTTTCTGTAGAACTGTACAAAATTGTATGAGTTTTGTAAATGATTTTATCTGGGTCATATCAGTCATCAAAACAAACGATTGTTAATCTATCGATAATATTAACTTTAGCATTTTTTTTCTTTTTACTATATAGCATTTGGATATTTGACAACTTCAACTTATTCAAGTGAATTGACAAAGCAAAATTTAATGTATACTCGTAATGGTAGTTCCTCAGGCAACTACTACTATGAACTTATTAAAATAACAGTTTCAGCAGCTGGTGTATATTTTTTCCAGTGCAACAGTAATATTGATACATTTGCTTATTTGTATAGCCAAGCTTTTAATCCATTGAATCCGGTTGCAAATTTATACTTCGGGCTTGATGATGAAAACGCTGAAAGATGGGAATTTAGCTTTCAGTTGACTTTTCCGACTGCAGGCGCAACGTTTTTGGTTGTCACCACATACAGTCCAAGTGTGACAGGACCGTTCTCAATCGTTGCCAGTGGAAACACTACTGTAACTTTTAATCGTACAGTTGGTACTGCCCAACCAACAAGTACTACTTCTACCACAACCAAGCCAACTAGTACTACAACGATGCCAACAACAAGTACTACTTCCACCACAACCATGACAACAACTAGTACTACAACCAAGCCGATAACTAGTACTACTTCTACCACAACCAAGCCAACAACTAGTACTACTTCTACTACAACCATGACAACAACTAGTACTACAACCAAGCCAACAACTAGTACTACAACCAAGCCGATAACTAGTACTACTTCTACCACAACCAAGCCAACAACTAGTACTACTTCTACTACAACCATGACAACAACTAGTACTACAACCAAGCCAACAACAAGTACTACTCCTACCACAACCGTGACAACAATAACAACAACGAATAGTAAGTAAATCATATCTTAATACTACTCTGTCCTTTTTTCACAGAAAATATGTAATAAATATATTTATTCTTAGGTACATTTAATATTGGTCGTTGGTCAACAACAGGCTCGCTTTCAATAGGTCGTGTTGGCCATACATCAACTCTTCTTTCTGATAAACGTGTCATTACTATAGGTGGCAAGGATGGTTATACGGTGGAACTTTACAATTCAGCAACACGAACATGGAGTCGAGGAACGTCAATGAATAATGGTCGAATGTATTTCACTGCCACGCTTTTACCAGATGGTCGATTGTTTGTTGTAGGTGGTTGGTATTACTCTGACGGATATAGCAAAACTGCCGAAATTTACAATCCTGTCAGTAATAGTTGGGCAGCCGTTAGCAATTTGACCTTTGCTCGATTTGCACATCAAGCAGTCTATTTACCGGCGCCAGTAAATAAAGTATTAGTCATGGGTGGAGTTGGAGAGAACAACTCGTATACGGTTTTGCAATCTTGTGAATTATATGATTTCGTTTCGAATAAGTGGACAGTCACGACTTCAATGAATAACCCACGATCACATTTTACAGCAACTTACATACCATCTATGAATGTGGTTGTAGCTATAGGAGTTAGTGATCAAAATAGCGCAGCAGAAATATTTAATATATCAACATTACAATGGACTCAAAGTCTGAATGCAATGTCAGACAGTCGAGGAAAACATACAGCTACATTACTTCCTAATGGACAAATTCTAGTTGCTGGTAATAGTTACAGTATCGCTACAACTTATTTGTTTAATCCAACAACGAAATTATTTACATATGCAGCAAATACTACCGAACAACGTGTTGAACCTTGTGCAACTTTATTACCATCAGGTTCAGTACTACTAACTGGTGGATTCACTAGTAACGGTTCAATTTACCGTACGGCTGAAGTTTATGATTATCGATTCAATACATGGCGTCGTGTGGCAGACATGAACATTGGTCATGCTCGTCACACAGCAGTTTTTTTAAATGATTCTTCCTCGACATTAACACCAGTACTTGTCATTGGAGGGTACAAAGACGTTGGCGCCTTAACTGATTGTGAACTGTTCTCGGTCAATGGTTGATAAACGCAGTTCTTGTTAACTATATACATTTTATTTACTCTTTCATTTATATTCAAGAATTTTTTATTTTTCTCTTTCGTATATATTCAAGAATTTTTCATTCAAGGTAAATTGTGTTTTTCTTTGACAAATCAATAAATCATTCAATAACAGCTTGAAATAATGTAGTATTTTGTTTCACTTGCTTAATGTGTTGCGAAATCTATAGTCATGCTTTTCCTTTGGTACTCGATTAATAAATAGATGTACTTTTGAAAGTTTTACTACTTTCTTTTGAATATTCTGAAATAATCTAACTATGAGAAAAGATTACTTTTCTTGTTTAATGTGCAGTTGGTAAACGAAGTGGCACGTGTTGTTCATGTTGGTTGCATAAACGAAATGTGAGTGAAATATAAGAAATATAAAGCATACTTAGAAGATTCAATTGGACGCAGGAAGAATAATCAACATTCTGATGAATACAAGCAATATTACTTATTGAAATAAGAGCAGTTTTCTGTCAGACTCAAACAATTGTGAGAAGATATAACATCTTGAGGATGTGGATAATGAATGAGAAGAAAACGTATACCCACACCCTGTTTTACATATAAATAAATCCTACTTGTATATATAGAATATTAAGTAGGAATACAAATATTATACTCCTTCTCAATAAAAACAACTAATTCTACAATCCTTGTCTGTATATAATCGTAACATTCAACCAAGTGGAAGTATTATATTTCTTGCTTTCAATGAATCATTTTCGTAGACATACTTATGTCTGGTATAAAAATTTGTTAAAAAAATATTTAATGAAGTGTAGAAATTTTTCTACTGGTTTATTTGTTCATATAGAATTAAGATACGAAAAAGACTGAAAGATCAGTTTGCATTGTTTTACTATAAAACAATCTTAATATGTTAATGAATATTATTCATACATAATACAAGTTATAATCTGATATATATTGTTGAAGTATTAGATAAAAATTGATTTCTTTTTCGATCTTTTTTTTGATAAAGGTAACTTTATCTTAAATCCCAAAGATTTATTTTTCACTAAATACTTTTCTTCGTATAATAAATTTTTCTTTCGTTCTAATGTGACACATCATTCAATCTAAATTAATTTTCATCTGTTTGTCTTTTCTCTGTTACTCAACTTATATATAGACACCTATGGTGTTAAAGATCACTGACGTTATTGACAAAGTCAAAAACGATAATAACAATGCGAGAAGAGAAAAAGATGAAGAATAATAACAAAAAGAAAAAAAACGAAAGAAACACATTTTGTCGTTGCTTATTTCTCAAAAATTAATACCTGAGATGAATTAATTACAATAAGATCGTAACAAAAACTACTAAATTTTAGCTGTCGGTCATACTGTTTACAAAAAAAAAGAAAACGAACGAAATATATCTGAGATAGAAGTTTGAGTGGTTGATAAAGCAAGAATAATTGCATAAAGAATAAGGGAGAAATAGAAACATACAGTTTTCAATTTTTGATTATCTAGTAGACACACACGCGCACACACACATATATATCGCACTGCAACTTATCACACAAGGAACAAAAAAAAGATGGTTCATTCAATACTGTCAAAAAAATGAAAACGAAAAAGAATTTGTTCGGAGAGAGGACAAAGAAAAACTAACTATTTCAATTAAAATTTTCAGCATCGATTTCATTTGTTAATTCATCGATTTCTTCTTCTTCTATAATTTCTTCATCAGGTGAATTCATTATTTCTTCATTTGATAATGTTGTTGTTGTTGTTGTTGTTGTTTCATCATTAAAACATATCCATGAATGTTTAAGTGATTCATGAACAGTTGCACGACGTCTTTATAAATTAATAAGAAATAAAATTAGAATAAATTCTTTCAAATATTTACTTTGGTACTCGAACAATCAGTTTTTGAATAAGATCAATACATTTTTTTGAAATTTTTTCAAATAAATCCGATGGAAAATCAAGTATACAATGTGTTATATTACTTTGTGTATCTAATTTCGTTGCACCACCAAATGGTGTATGACCAGTAACAAGTACATAAATCAATACACCTATATTCCACATATCAGTTGCACATGTTAATGGTTCATAATTAACAACTTCAGGTGCTAAGAAAATCAAAGAGAACAAATAAATAAATATAAAAGTTAAATTGAACATTTTCTTACCAAGAAAATCTGTTGTACCGGACATTTCTAACAAACGTTGATTAGTTAATACACGAGAAAGACCAAAATCACATAATTTAATTTGTGTACTTGGCCATTTTTCCATAAGAAGAATATTTTGAGGCTAAAAATACGAAAAACAAATTTTCTCTACTCAAAAGTTATTTTATCATAGATACTTTAATATCAAGATGAACTATTTTATTATCATGTAAAAAAGCTACAGCTTCTAATACTTGTTTCGTAACATGTATAGCTTGTATTTCTTCTAAAGAACCTTCAACTTCAAGTGCTAATTGTAAATCACCTTGTTTTGCACTAAAAGCAAAATATTTAAAAAAGAAATTTCGTTTTAAAATACATATCATCTTATTTACTATTCAAGTATAAAAATAGCTTCAGTTGGTAAATCAAATACTTGATAAAGTGTTACAAAATTCGGATGTTTATATGATAATTGAAATATACGTAATTCATTAAGTGCATGTTGAATATTACGTTTTTTAATTATTTTAGCTGCATATATTTGATCAGGTAATTCTTTTTTAACACATTTTTTTACACATGAAAAACGACCACTATAAGAAAAAAGATAAAGAAATAATTATTACATTTGATAGAAGAAAAACTTGAATGTATTTACCGACAAAGATCTTCAGTTATATTATAAATTGAATCAAATGATACTGTAGCACAACGATGTGTAAATTCACCGGGTGCTGCCGATTGAATCATGCCTGTTGTTAACGATGGTGTCAATGAGAGAACTGATGCTGGACTTGGAGAATTCTTAAATAAAATATATATTAATAAGATGACAAAAAAAAACTATCAAATCATGCATAGATCAACCACTGCAAGGAATGATAATTACTTCACTTTTTAATATTTAATAAGAAAAAAACTGAAAAGATTCAACTAGTTAAATCAACTATATTAGACGAATAAAAAGAAAGAAAGAATATTTTGTTTAATTGAATTTTTGTTTATTATTTAACTGAATACTTACATGTAATCGATGTCGAAATACTGGATTACGAGTACGTGTAGGTGTTTGACTACGACACACATCGTGTAACATGGCTGAAATTCAAAAACAGAGAAGAAATGAATTATCTAAAAATAGAATTAAACTATTCCTATCAGGTAAAGAAATTATATAATTCATGTAATGACGCGACGTCGGGACAGAATATTGTGATCGGTGCACCCTTCGCTTCCTGTCGATGCATATAGAAAAAAGCATTGCTTACATATACATATGAATGTATGTGTATTAACCTTCTGCGAGGTCGCGTCGTCGCGTTCATTCATTCATTCGTTTATTTCTTTTACTACTTTCATGCGTCGTCAGGTTCTTTCTGCGGTTATATTGCATTATGATGAGAGCACGAGCGTATGTATGTAATATTGTATATTGCATATACATTTACAACTTATTGATTGGTAAAAGTGTCAAGGGCAAAAAATGGATTCTGGTGGATGGTAAATAAAGCAAGTTGATAGATAGCGCCATCTGGACGAAAAACGGTATATATATATTCAAATGAAATTAACGAGATTAAACTTTTAGTATGAATTCATAATCTATGTGGTAGATGTAAGGATTATTCATATATAGAGGAATTGTTTCTAGTTTACAAATGCTGGAAGCAAATGAAAGACTAAAGTTAAAAGAATTTTAATTGAATGACTATAATAGATACAAATGAATAAATATACTTTCTACCTTTCCTTAAAGATAAATGGATAACAATCACCTCCATTCAGTTCGATCTCCTAAAAGGAACTTACCATTTTACGATTTGTATATTAATTAATAAAGACCTAGTTAAACTTTCAAATCAAAGCAGTATAAAAAAAGAAAATGGTATATTATCCAGGGATGTTTTTCATGTTATCTCATTTCATAGGGAAATAACTTCAATATATCTGTCATCGTTTGTATTATAATAATAATAAGTTATTTTCTTCTGGATCTTTCGTCGATGTAATTGACAGATATCTGTCTACTAATATTTTATCAAGCGAAGTAGGTCAGTGGGTAAATGAAATTATTTTGCGTTGAGTTTTATAATCATATTTGTCAAAGAAATAATGAAATAAAATCCATGATTATATATATATGTAATTGATCGAAATTTAAGAATAAAGAAACGAAATTGACTTATAAAAGCTGAGAATAAGTATTTCCTATGATGACATTTTATGTGGCTTCTGTAGATAATGAAAAATGATATCCATTCTATTGCGAAAGAACGGTTCGTTTAATCGATTGATAGATTATAGTCATACACTAGCATAGACAATGACGGATGTTTTTCATCATTAATAATAATAATTGTTTATCCAATATTTTTGATGTCTGGATATTAGTTTGACGTCTATGAAATTATATCGACTAGAGAAAAAAAATGAATAAATCTCGTTTGACAATCAGTATAAAAACGATAATTAATCCTAAAAAAAAAACTATAAAATTTATTTTATTCTTACCAACACAGAAATTATTTATTTCTGCGCTTCTTTTTTCGTATTTTATCTATCAAAATCAATGTTATGCAATGAAGGATATCGGCAAGCTCTTAAAGCACGAAAAGAACGTGATAAAACACGACGCAGGTTGATTGACATATAATCTTTGCATAATTTTCAATCGAATTTATCTATCTACCTATCTATATGTATATGTATGCAGAGAATATACCGGTGATCTTGTTCAATCTCTTCTCTATACATTTGTTCCAGCTCATGCTTTAACATCAAATAATGATATTCATACACAACTACTTACATGTAATCTGTCACATACATTTGATTATCAATTTCGACCACGTTCTCTACTTGATCTAACTAAAGAAAAAGTTCAAATAAATTTTGATCTTATTAATGAAAAACGAAATGTAAAATATAAACGTATACTTAATGAAATTCAATTGAATGATTCCGATTATGATTCTCAATTGAGTGATATAGGTGTATTCGAAGAATATATCGTCTAAGTCAAATTGATTATACCTTATTTTCTTTTTTGTTCATAGATACATTTATCAATAAGCAAGATCCTATTCAAGTGTATCTTCAAGCATGTAAACAATATCAAATTCATCCGTTTGATATTGTTATTAAAGGATTAAATACTAATACACTTGATCTATCTGAAATGTCAATAAATGATACTGATTTAAAAATTATTTGTCTTGCATTACGAGTGAATATTGATTAATTTATTTTTTTTTGTATATCGATTATTTGAAAATTAGATTCATAGAAATATAAAATCGATTCGATTAAGATCTAATAATATTACATCACAAGGTTGTGTTTATCTTCAAGAAACATTAAAAGATAGTTATACAATTGAAGAACTTGTTAAGAATTATGAAAATAATATTTCCGAAAAAATGATTTCTTTTAGGATATTTCAAAAAATCCAATTAAAACAGATGGATTAGAAATATTATCACTATTATTTATGAATGATGAAATGAAAATGTCGATTATAAAAAAATTAAATTTATCATGTAAATAAGATTTATTTTACAAAGTTTTTAATTTTACTTTTCAAATTTAGCATGTGAACTTATTGATTCAGATGGACCCATTCTTAAAAAAATAATTAAAGTATTTTTCATAGAATTTTTTATTATATATGAATATTTCAAAGGGAGGTGATATGCTTCAAGAATTATATCTAAGTGGAAATCAACTCAGTACAATAACATGTAAAAATATTGGATTAGTATTAAGTAAACATAAAAGATTTTATTGAAAAGAAAATTTTTTTTTGGATTTTTATTAGAAGATGCACCGGAATTAAAAATTCTTGATTTAAGTTGGAATATGATTCGTCATAATGATATACGTCCAATATGTAATAGTTTAAAAGTAAGAAATTTTTAGAGAATATATATTTTATTCGATATGAAAAATGAAAGGATAATCAATCACTTGAAAGACTTGATTTAATGATGAATGGATTGGAGAATCAAGGTGCAATATTAATTGGAAATATGTTAGCAAATAATGACATATTAATCGAACTTAATCTATCAAATAATCGTATTGAAAAAGATGGAGCTGATATATTTGCTTCGAAACTTGAAATGAATCGTAAATTAAAAAAACTTTGGGTAAGAATATAAATAATGATTGATAAGAATTATTTTTATAATTCAAGTTTGGTAATAATAATATTGGTACATTTGGTTCTCTTGTTCTTTTAAAAGCAGTTGATCATATTAAAAGTCAAATTGAATATCTTAATATTGAAGTAAGATTATAGAAGAAGAATTCTAAAAAGAATCTTTTTTGTATATAAAGAATGTGCTTATTAATGATGATTTTCTTGATTTATATACACAAATTAATCAATATTTAAGACCACTTGAAGTTATACATGGTGGAATTCGAGGAAAATTAGGACGATCACATCCAACATGTAATATAAATTTCCAAATTTTTTCTTTTTTCTTTATTAAATTTTCATTAAAAGTACATGGTTTTACTATTATGGATGATATTGATTTACGATATCTTGACATAAAATCATTACATGCACTATTTCAACGAGATCCTTTTAAAATTCTTAGTCGAATGGCGAAAGAAGGTGGATATGATTTTCCTAGTGCACTTAAAAAATGGGACATGGAAGAACATGGACAGTTAACTTATTCGATTTATGTTATTGATTTTCCAAGTGCAGTTAAAGTACGTTTCTTTTTGCCATTGTCGGATGTCCAGTGAATTTGTTTCTATTAGGATGCTGGTATTAATCTTGATAAAACTCTTCATTTTATTCTATGGAATTATCTCAAGAAAATCGAAAAAAAAGGTTCTGTTAGTTATCTGTATGTAAATTCATTTTAATCAATAAGAATCGAATTAATTCGATATTTTAGTGAATTTATCACTCCGTTATCAAAACTAAATCCCAAACCGATATCAACTCGTATCAAGAAGAAATCTTCATAGTTTGATTTGACTTTCTTCTCTTACACAGAAATATTTTCATACAAAAAAAACAAAAAACGTCATTTCATCATTTTCTTGTTGGTAGTTAAAGTTGAGAAAACAAAACTGAAAGATAATAAATATAAAAGAAATAAAACAAACAGAATTCCCAACGAAAATTGAGCTCAAAAGACAAAAAAACGGACGTTGTTTCATATACATATAATAAAGCAATAACAGCACCATAATCAATTCTCCAAGAGAAGGCGGCAAACATAAAAAGAAAAACGAATCATTTTTATCTGTTTTAAGATTATAAAAAAAATCGTTAAAGAAGAAAAGAAGAAAAGAAACATAGTTGCATAGAAATAAAAAGTAAAACAAGATGATATTGACCAGAAACAAAAAAAGAAAAAGAAAGAAAACAAATATGTATATATATATTATGTTGGTTTTAGTTTTTGATAAAAATCATTGTATATAATATGTATAGAGAATAAATAATGTCAGCAAAGAAAAAGATAAATCATGTTTAAAACACGGCAGATATTACAGAATATAGATCAATAGTATACATATGATTTGAAAGATAAAATAAAAAATACAATTCTTTTTAATTGCTTATAGGAGAAATTATTGTTTGAACTGGTGGTTGTTGTTGTTGTTGTCGAGGACGACGATATGTATTAGTTGTTTCACTGTTATTTAAACCATTTCGACGATTATTATTATTATTAGTATTAGTATTATTCGATGGTGGTATTGCACGTGGTCGACGAGTGTTTCCATTCTGATATTGAGGATACTGCTGCTGTTGTTGTTGTGATGGCGGTGGTCGGCGACGATTTACAGCTAATAAAAAAGAGATGATGATTTTTTTTTCTAAAAAATTAATCGTCTTACTTTGATAACTATTATTTGAATCTTCATAATATTGATGATAACCATTTTTTTGTGGTGAAACATAAGAGTTTTGAGAATAATCACCGGCATTATTTCTATTAAAATTTTGTTTATTATTAATTCTCTGTGGTAATGGTTGTTGATGATTAGGAGGAGATGATGTATGACCATTCGTTAATGATATTTGATTATTTTCTATTAATTTTTCTGGTAAATTTGTTTCGTTTGTGTTTGTTGTACCATTTTGTTCTATTAATGCTGATGATGTTGATAATGTTCGTGCTCGATCATATTTTCTATCAATTCTTAAAACTGTTCCAAAATTTTTTAATCCATCCATTAATATTTGATCATATTCAAAACGATGTGATGATGTTAATTCTTCACATAAATCATATCGACGATCTGTAACAAATTGTTTGATATCCGTACGAAGATTATCTATTTCTAATGATTCAAGACGATCACAAGAATCTATACGTTGACGTAATTCAATTGCACGTTGTTGTCGACGATGAATTATATTTAAACCTTGTTCTTTAACTTTATCCATTTCTAAATATAATTCAACTTCACGTTCACGAATTATATCACGAATTTGTTTAAATACACCATCAATACGTTTTATGGAAGATTTTATTTCATTTTCAAATGATAATTCAACATTAGTTAAAGTAGATGTTTGACGTTGAAGATCTTTAGTAGATTTTGTAAGAACTAAACAAATTTTTTTGGTTAAAATTAAAGAAAGAATTTTCTTTTCTTTTCTTACTTTTTCTATTATTACTGGTAAATGAAGGTTTTGTCACTGTTGTAGTATTTTCTGTTTGTTGCATATCATTCGATAATGATTGATGAGTCTGTTCATGATCTGATGTTGTTGAACCATTACGATTTCGCGTATTTTTTCGACGTTTTGATTTACCATTTGTTTCATGATCTTGATCAATATGATTTGTTAATAGACTACTATCATCAGTTGTTGATGAACTATTTGTTGTTGCATTCGATGTATCATTATATTCATTTTGTGTTGATTCAATAACATTTAATAACGATTCAGAATTATTTGTTGAATCTAAATAAATATATATAAGAAATAAAATCGAATTTCAAAAAAACGTTTTACCTTGACTAAGATATGGATGAAATGAAAGATCAGTTGATAGATATGACTGAAAATTATTCGATTGTTCAAGTAATGATGAAGATGACATTGATGATGGTGAATAAGTTGCTGTATTAGGTAATATTGTATTTCCTAGAAATAAAATTTCTCATAAATTTTATTCTATTAAAAATGAAGATTATCTACCATTTGTAGCTATTGTTGGTATTCCACCTTCAGCAAATGTTTGAAATATATTAGAAACACGTTGTGATGGTCGTAAAATACCGTTGGACGGAGGCGTTTGTGATGATGATTTATTTTTATTATTTGTACGTTTGATAGAATTCTAAAAAAAAGAGTTTCAATTTTTGTTGTTTCTATCAAAAAAAGAATATATTTACATTTCCACGACCATTGTTCATTTCAGTCCAACCACTTAGAGCTTCAACTGCTCCATCTAAGTAATATACAGAAGAAAAGTAATTCAAATTTAATATGTAATTTTTTGTTGAAACTTACTTCTTTTAAATGCTTCGACTGTTTCATCTACATTTGATTCATAATAAAGTAATGCAAGTTCAATTTTTTCACGTGGAAGATTCGATAAATGAGGTAATCGAGAACGAACGGCAGAAACATTATCACGCATGGCATTCTTTCGTGGCATTATTTTGTTTCTCTTTTTTTTCTTCTTCTTCTTTATCTTAAATAAAAATAAATTAATTTCTTTATTTATGTCATATTATATTTACAATATAAATAGAACTTATTAATATGTACCTGTTTTGGTGAAAATAAATAATTCTGTGAATGTTTCAATCAAAATGAAATTCTCTATTTACTTCTCTCGTTTCTTTTTACAATAGAAAAATTACACGCAAAGTGTAACATTTGACGCATATGCAAACATTTATTTCAAAAGAAGAAGAAGAAGAAAAAAAGATCTTCTATTCTTTCTTTTTTTTATTGATAAAAAAAAAGGTTACTCTCTGAAGTAAGAATATCAACATCATATAACTTGTATTATCTTCTTAGAGAAAAGAATAAAAATAAAGTAACTAAATATATATATAAATGATAATTTATTTCTATAATTAAAGCCTAATAAAAATTCTTTTATTTCTATTTTCAATATTCGCGCGTCTCTTTCTTTCACCTTAAGTTAATATATAAAAGAAATAAATGAAAAATAAATAATATACTTACTTTTCTCAATTGCTTATATTTATATCGATTATGAATTAAACATTATGTATTATAAATATATATACAATGTCGAGATCGAAATACACAAGTAAAAGAAATATATATAAAGTAATATAGTACAGATGTGTTATGATACACGCACTATTCAACGACAAAACAATGACGGTATTGCTACTTAGACATAGAAGGAAAAAAGCGAAATAAAGACAGTATATTTAGAATATTTCTGAAAAGAAACAACAAAAAAAAAACATTCCTTTTTTCATTTTAATCTATATGAAAATATTTGTTAGTTTTTTTTTTCTTTTTCTAATAATCGAAATAGAATGGGACATCATTGATATCCTTGTCCATTTCAAAAAGAAAAATTTGCTATATAAAAAAAGATACAAATATTCGTTGTATATATTATATATAGTTTATAAAATTTCTTTTTGCTAAAAAAAAAACTGTAAATGTTGTTAATCAATCTTTTTTTTTCTCTATCTGTTTATCCATACATCTGTCTATCAAACTCGATAACGATAAAGAAAAAGAATTGAAGATGACAATAAACAATCGATTTGTCCATATGGGAAAAGAAAAGGTGGCAGAACTATGTGGCCTAAAATCAACAAAAGAAATCGACGTGCGAACAAGAATAAGATGCATACCAATACGATATGGGGCGTCCCTACATCGCATGATTGTATATCTATTCTTCTTCTTCTTCTTCTTTCTAGTCGTCATCTATCTCGTTACTATAGACAGACAAGAATGTAAATATCGTCTTCTCTCTCTCTCCCCAGTTTATACGCCCTCGATCGATATAAGCCATCACCGCTAATATCTACAACGTACTATCATCATCATCTTTGCATATGTATATATATATATATATATATTATAGAGGAAGAAGAAATGTGGTTTTTCTTTTTGTTTCTCTTTCTCTCTCTCTCTCCTTCCATTCCTTTCTCCAATATTCTTATTCCATACCAAACTAGAAGAATAATCATCAAGACATTCAGTATAATTATCATAGTAAAAAAAAAGAGAACCTAAGTTTTGATAGTGCAAACATCTTTAAAGTTGTTGTATCTAAAAATAAATATATATATATATATGTTTTTTACAAAAATTATCTACATTTATTGTTCTTACATTACTTAAAATGAAGAAGGAGAAAGAGAAAAAAAAAACGAGTAGAAACAAAAAATGCAAAATGATGATGACACAGACTGACCCAGATTATAACTCTTACGATGACAGACCTATTTAGTGAAAGTGACAAAAAAATAAAATATCCAAAATCAATAAAATGAAGGTCAATGATATCGATAACGATTTTACCTATGAAATCAAAAAAGTCACGTCTTTTCGAAAAGACGGGAGAGAGACTGAGGAGAAAAAACATCAAAATTTATTAGTTGAAGGTATCAACTACAATTATGTACGATGTAAAATAGACAGCTAAATACAAACGAAAGTGAAAGAACAAGCAAGAAGAGCTTTTCAATAGAATAAAAAAGATTGCGCAATCATCAGGATTAAAAGAACGAAAGAAAAATTTTTTTCCTGATTTTTTTTTCATTTGTTTATTCGTTCGTTCATTCAATATAAAATGCGTCATCATATCAGTTAGCTTAGCTTAGCTTAGCTTAACTTAATACACACAAATGTTTAAGAAGAGAGGAAATTGTCTCAATTTTCATTTGTAAATTTTCATTTTACTATTTAAAATATACATCTTCCAATTTAATATCAATGATACGGTACGATAAACTTTGAAAATCTCGAACAATCTATGGTTCATTTTAACAATTTATTAAAAATTAGAATTATAGATGTCATTAGTATAAAGTACATTTCATAATTTTAAAGGCAGTTGCTAAGAGATAATGTGTAGAATTATTTAGTGGAAGTTAAAAAGAAAACAGTTTGAAAAAAAAACGAGAAACTAAAGATGATCGTCGGAGGGTATGATTATAACAAAAACGAAATCTAATTAGATCATTTCCGTTTTTTTTTATTATCGATTAGATCTTCTTCTAATTATCATGGACAACAAAAAATACACCAACAAACTGGGTATGCAACATAAAGACAAAATATTATCTCAAATAGACTACTAGAGATTTTTTGTTTACATTCTAAATTACTTAATATAAGTAGAAAAGATATAATGTTAAAAACAACCTTCAACTAAATACATCTAGAGTAAACAGAAGCTTTTACATAGAATATAAAAAACATGTGTAAGAAATAATAGTAAACCTGTTTTTATTGATCAATATCAATCACAAGGTTTTCTTAATACGAACAATAAAAAACTAGTTTATCTCGTAGCAAACTTATTTCAACTAAGATTAAACAAGAATTAATAATCTGCAATTTTTTTCGAAAATCCTTCTTTCTATTCGACAGATGTACTAAAGAAAATATATATGTTCTGAGTTATGTATCTGTTTATTCTAATCAGACAGAAGTAAATACTAACTCTATTTATAATGCCAAATCAGACATATATGACCTCGAAATAACGAAGAAAATATATCTGTTGTTTATAAATTATGTCATTATCAATTTCTATGACATATTAACAGAAAAAAAACGTCATCGAATCTATTAAGTACATTAAGTTAAATCAACTAATTTAATGATTTTAGTTTATCCGCTGATAATGATGTACTCGATAATTATCTTTCTCATGATCGAAATTCATCATCATCATCATCACGTACAATTCAAGAAGTTGCATCAAGTACACTTATCGATAGTTTAGCAGCTGAATGGTGGTCAATAAATTTATCACAACATGTTATTAATGATTTACTTGAAAATCTTCTACCAATAATAGTTTTAGGATGTGAAAAAGTTATTAATGAAGCTGATGAACGTCATTTAATTGGAACAACAACACCCGATCGATCATTTAATCCAATAAATCGTTTAGCATCATTTTTAATGCGTAATAATCCAAAATATATGCATTATTCAACATTATCACCATATCATTATTCAATGAAATCTTTATTAAATACGAAAAAAGTTCAAGTTTTAAAAGTTTATGGTGAAGAAGAAACATTATTACGTACAATACTTAAACAAAGACAAACTGAACGTAATGAACATCATGATGTTACTGATAAAGAAGAAGAACGTCGAAAAAAATCATTAAAAATACTCTTTTCCGATTGGAATGTACCTGAAAGAGGATGGATTCAAACAAAACTCGTAATTGTATTTCTTATAAGTTGATAAATAAGATAAAACATTTTTTGTAGATTAACAATATGCTTGAACAATTCAATGAAGTTTCAAAAGAAATTAGTTTGAAATCAAATTTACCTGTATTTCAATCACATCGAATGCATCTTGGAAATTTTACTGAAGTATTTTTTACTAAAAATATAGTATATTTCATATTTAATTAAATTTTATTTAAATAATAGAATTTTTTCAATGGTTTAAATAATGAATCTGGAAAAAATTTTGATTCAATTCTTAATGTATATCGTCGTTGTGCACAAACTTATTCAAATATTGTTCAAGAACATGAACTTGATCTTCTTTTACAACGTGTTTTTAATCAATTAGATGAAAAACAAGTATGTAAATATTTATTACGATGTCACATTTGATTTTGAAAATTTATGTTTTTCTAGAGTGGTTTTCTTCTTCGACAAAATGTTATGAAATTATTACAGAAATTTTATAAAGCATTAAATGATCAAGATAAAAAAAATGTGAATCAACCAGATCAATGTAAGACATTTTTTTTGAAAAATTTTTTCTCAATTAATAAAGTAACTTTTTAAGGGCCTGTTCTTAAACAAATCACAACAGATGAAGAGATTGAAGATGAAGATCTATCCGAATCAGAAAAAGAGGAAGAAGAGAAACAACCTGAAGTACCAAAAAAACATGAACACGAAACACATCAACAAGAAAAACCGTCCGAAACAAATGAAGAACATAAGCATGATGAGGCAACCAAAGCTGGTGAACATGGAAAACCAGATGAAGCAACCAAAACTGAAGAACATGGAAAACCAGATGAAGCAGTCAAGACTGGTGAACATGAGAAGTCAGGTGAAGCACCCAAAACTGAAGAACATGAGAAACCAAATGAAGCAGCCAAAACTGGTGAACACGAAAGAGCAGGTGAAGCACCGAAAACAGATGAAGAAGAAAAATTACATGAAAGACCAAAGACAAATGAACAAAAGACTACATTAAGTACTCTACCTGATGCTAATAAAAAAAAAGATCAACAAGAGAAAAAAGATCAAAAAAAGAAAAAAGAAGAAGAACAAGAAGAAGCAGATGTAGAAGAAAACAAAATTACTATTGAATTAAAACCACCTTCAGCTTGTACGAACATTTGTTTTCCATTTTAAAGTTATTACATTGAATAATTTTTCTTTATAGATGAAGCAAATTATCGTTTCACAAAAGAACACAAATCAGTTTGTAAGTGATTAAGATAATAATTAAAATAATTTTCTTTTTCTTTTGTTCATTTAAAGATAATTTAGAACATTTTGATACAGACGATATTACTAAATCAAATCCGTATGATGAAAAACTTATGGATAAAAAACAATTTAGTTCCTTGTTAATATCATTTTCTGGTTTGAAAAAAGATGAAATGATTGTATCAGCATTAATCGATTTTTTTCGAACAACTTATAAAGAAACTGATGAAGAGAAAACTGAAAAAAAAACTTATGTAAGTTTTCTTAATGAGATTTTGTTTTTCATATATAAAATTATTTCGAATAGTTACAACAACAACTTATTGATGAACAACGACGTACACAATGTGATTTATTATTTGAAAAAATAAATACATCATGTACAGGACTTATTAAACTTGAACCATTGATTAATATTCTCAAACAATATAAAGAAGGAACAGCATTTGAACATATTGAACAAGGTAATTAATAAATTTAAAAGAATCAAATAAGAGAAGACGTACGATACTAAAATTTAGTCTGATCCCAATTAGATTTTTTTCTCAAGTTGAATTACGTTTATAGAAACATGGACCAACGTGGATTTTAACTCGATATCTTCTATGAATAAATGATAATTTGAGAGTAAACAGATATTTCTAGTCTTGATCTCATTTGTCTGACTTTTAAATTCGTAACAATATAATTATATCTATTTTTCTTTTCTCATAGTTTTCGAAACATATCAAGATCATTCACAAATAAGTCGTGAACAATTTTTCGATCTTATTATTAATATTTATCAAACACTCAATGAAGCATTGAATGGTGAAGAAAAACTCGATGACCTTACGAAATATATCGATAGTCAACAATCACCAGTACTGTATCAAAAAATTTCATAACAATTTCTATTGATTCATTTTAGTTAAATCCAACTGATCGCACACGTATTCAAACTCGTCAACAATGGTTAAAACGTATACGTAATATTCCATTTCGATCAGTAGGTCATCTATATAAAGAAGTTATGGATATAATACAAAAAGATTCGAATACATTTGGTAGTCAACCATCAAAATATTTAAGTATTTATATTGCTTTATTGGAAAGCAATAAAAATCAATTACGATATGTTGCTACAACAAATGATCAAACTGATTTATTATTAGGTAAAACATTACAACGTGATCAAGGCATTTCGTAAGTTAAATAATAAAATTCAATTCAATAAATAATTATTTGATTTTCTAGTTTTCAAGTACTTGAAAATGGCAGATGGGCATATATAAATCAAACAAAAAATCATTCGCGAATACATTTTTTTAATCCTGATGCTAAAAATGAATCAGGTAGTTTTGTTTTAATGCCATTAAAACGTATACAACGAAAATATTCGAATGGTCTATTGGGTATTGATACAATACAAGAACAAAAAGAAAAAGCATTTGTTAAACATGAAGTTAAATTTTATGAAGGTATTACATCCGTATTATCAGACACATTGACATTTATTGATTTTCATGTTAATATGATAAAAATTCTTAAACGATTTACTTATTGGATTCAACTGCGACATATAAATGTAAGTTATCAAAGATGAGTGTGGATGTGGGTATTATCTTTTTCAGTTATCCACAACCTTATTAAAACTATAACTTAAAAAATGAATTTATTTTCATCATTGTATATTTAAGGTTTCATCGGTTGATTACTATACTTATGAACCTGTATTACTTCAAAATCCACAAAAACGTGTACTTGAACATGTTTTAACATATTCCAAAGAAAATTTAACAGTATTCGATACACCCATAACAACCAATAGTCGTGAACAAGTATTTAAGTAAGAAAAATTGTGTTAAAAACATCTTTTTATTAAATCCTTTGAATAATAGATATTATCTTGAACATGCTGCAACAACATGTCAATCAACAATAACTTCATTTCTTGATCAAACTCATATGATACATGCAATGCGTGGTAGAGATAAATTTTGTTTTGGTTTAATTGATACAAATATTGGTTTGTGAAGAAATAGGATGAAATTTAATTTTCATAATTTGATTTTTCTTTCAGGTGAACAAACAGATTTACCACATGAACAAAAACAAGATTTAATAACAATGTATCATTATATTTATAAAGCTGCTGATGTATTAGAACAAGAATTATTTGAAGATAAAACAAAACAATTATTAACTTATGAAAATCAATCTGAAGAAATGCGTTTAAATTATCTTTTTGATCGTATTTGGTATAAAGATATATGTAATAAAATAAAAGAATTAACAAAAGAAAAAATCCAAGAATTTGTCGATAATAAATCTAAATGGAATACTCAAATAAAAGATATTTTATCGAGTATTAGTCATATTGTTAAAGAACATGAAATAAATCCATCTGATGTAAGTTTTTATTTCAAAGAGATAACTGAAATAAAGAATTATATCTTCCATAAATGAATTCATTTAGTATGCTAAGGATCTCATTCCAGCTATGAAAGTATTTGATCCAACAGCAACAGAAAATGTTCATAATAATGCATGGAATCATGTTGAACAATCATTACACAGTTAGTTTAAATATATATTTTTTCTTATTCATATAATAATATATGCAATTCTAGATATTCATCAATCAACTTTGCCGCAAACATCATCAGATATAATTAAAATATTCTATGAATGGTTAAATCTTGCCTATGAACTACATAAAATTTCAAAAACTCATTAAATTAAAAAACAATTTTTTTTCTTCTAAATAAATTTTACTTTTTATTTAATACACAATATAATAACAAATGAAAATAATATCTGACAATGACAAGAATGTGAGTGTGGGTGTAATTATCTTTATTTTGAATCCACACTCGTATCCACATTCATATTTATATTCACACCAACACTCATACCCAAATTCATATCCATATTCATACCCACATCCACACTTTGGAGTATTAAGTGGAAAAAAAATTTAAAATAGACGTCTTTGCCTTTGAGTTAGGATTTATTAACGTAACACAATGACGAAAATCACAAAAATGTACTCCATTATTTCCTACGAACACGTGGTGTGAAATCGATAAATATGAGCCATTTTACTTGCACTTAGAACAAAAAACGCTTTTATCCGGTTTGAACTAAGTACTATAGGACGATAGTGTTGATACCTAAACTTGATTTTTTGAATTCACAATATCGATGCTGACGCGCAACGCGTTTTTGCCGATATGTTGAAATAATCAGAGAATTAATTCTTAGAGAAATTATAATATTTCCACAGTTTTTCAAGAATATATAATTGTATTTAAGGCAGAGTGACTACTTGTTACTCTTATTTTAGTAGAATGGATAGGGATGAGTGTGGTTGCGAATTTGTTTACTCTCAACTGCACACTCACACTCACACCTACCCGATGGATTAAAAAAAACAACGAATAGGAAAGATATTAGTATGGTTAATGTGAAGCCAGTATCGCATTATATTGGTTTGGAAATAGCAATCTCCACCTTTCCACCGATATCTTCTTCGCTATTAGAGACCGACGCCTTGCCACTGAATTCTGTTCCACCTGGACTGGTATATATGGGACAAGATGAACTGTTGCTCGACTCTCCCTTGCTTGTATCCGAAGCGTTGTTGTGCGTGCATGGTCCACCCCACGTTGACGACATGACCGACGGCTAAAAAGTACTAAAACTCGAATGCTGACAAATAAACATATATTATATATTATTTAAGATAGATGGCTACTAAACTGCCTAAGTTACAGAAAGAAAGATAACACTTAATAGACCGACAACATAATGACTGTTTATAAGAGATGTAGAGATGTAGCTATTTAATCTAATAACTTCTATCATCAGAGAAAGTGAGCAATATTAAAGTGTTTGTAACATGCAGAAGTCAACGGAGCCTAAAACATAGTTGATAGTCCGCGTATATTTTCTTACTTAATATAACTATATCGGTTTGCTTATAAGTGTTGTAAAATGAATATGTAAAATAAAACGGATTGTTGATTGTATATATATACTCAAGAGATGATTCAGCCACGAAAAACCAACGTCGTATAATATATGCATGTCTTATCAAAGAAGATAGGCGGACAGTGAATCAAGAGCATCATAAAATACTTTCTTTCTTATGAAATAGTGAGCTTATCGTTTAAGCAACTATTTTTTGAGTGCGTGGATATGACTGTGAGCTTAAAGATGACTCATTTTACCTCTCTCATATCCGCCTAATGTTGCAAAAATCTTACGAAAACCATTGTAATAACACATACTTCACAGAAACAAAACAAAGGATGATTATGATTAAAAAGAACGACAAGTATGTTGGCTTTTTCCCATTGTAAGAAGTCTTTTTAAAATGCGCATATATACACTCCAATTGTCAATCTGTGTAATCTATTATTCTTTTTTGATAAACGGGAATTATAATGTTTGGAAAAAATAAAAAGAAGTATTTAGAGCCCAAATTTAATGATTGTACCTCATCAGTACTTACTTGTCCTACTGAGCGAATGGTATCAATATCTCTTAATGGTATCAAACTGTTAGCATTAGTAATAGATTATAGTTTAACACTTAATAAACTTCGCAGTGAAATTGAAAAGCGCAATAGTCAAATAAAGATAGATGATATTTTTCTCAACATTCACGGCTTTCCTATTGCGTCATGTGATGAAGGAAAAATTCGTATCTCCAAAGTAGTTGATATCGACAATGATGACATTATTATTATGCACTCAAGAAGAAAACCGCTTTCAGAAACTTTAACTCAATGGGAAAGAATTTATCGCAATACTAATCTTCTTCGAGGAAGACGTTTTTTGTCCGAAGGACCAGAAGTTGCGGATTATCCCGTTATCATATTGAAGTCGAACTGGGAACCAAATAGTCAGTCTTGTCAAAATACTACAATACAGCATGAAATATCTTATCAACAAGTAAATGATAAATCTGCTGCTTATAAAATGTACAAACTAGAAACTATAAATACCTTACCTTTCGTTCATTTAACATTTGGTAATAGTTCAAGCACTTATAAATCATCAACAATAAACACTGAGAACTCCTTGAAAACTTCTCATTATAAAATTCCTCGGGCTATTCATACATTCGATCCAACTATGATTGAACTGGATGCAAAATTTATCGATGAGATCGATTCAATATTAAATAAATCTTCAACTGAAAATAAATACAAAAAATTGACTGAAGTCTTCGATAAATACGGTCATGCTTATGCGGTTAAAGTCGTTCTTGGTGGTGAAAAAATATCTTTTACACAACACCACATAGATGAATCAGATAATGAACGTCAACATCAACATCAAGTTCAAGCAAATTTTGAAGCGTCGTGTGATGATTTTGAGTTGGGAGCCAACTTTGAACGAAATAAAACACAAAAACATATGCACAAAACAGTGACTAACAATTCATCTGTAAAGCATTCAATTATGGGTGGCGATGGTTTAATAAGAGATATAAATGAATGGTCTGAATCACTGCGAAATTTTGAAAATTGGCGTATTATCAAATATGAACAGATTGAACCATTATACACATTATTGGATCATGAACGACAACGAAAAATTAAACTTGTCATCGATGAATATCAAATGGAACAAGAACGACAAAGACAACCGTCAGTTCGATGTCGAACTGTTCCTGCCGAACTTTCATTTAACGAAAATGACGGTACTTTTACTTTGGAAGTTCCTCATGAACATCATCATAGAATAGTTTTTCGTACTTCACGTTCTGAGCGAACGGCAATATTATTTTTCTACTCGCCATCAGGCGACGAATGGTATTTAAAATACAAAAAACAAAAACACAATATATGGATATCTCTGAAACGAGTTCCAGTTGATATGGATATACCAAAATTTGCTGTTAACATAATTCAAACTCTTCTCACAACAAATCCAATACCAAATGATGTAATTTTGGGAGCCTGTCAGTTTTATGATAGTATTTATATTAATACTTTAACTAAATTTGGAGAAGCTATTTCTGATTTAGGCTTTAAAAAACTGACTTTGAACACTAATTAATTCAACAAAACAATATATAGAAATAAAGAAGTTTTGGATACCGGCATTATATTTATACAACATCTTCCGTGTGGGTAGGAGTACACATAGGGTGTGCGTGTGGATTAAGAGAAGAGATACCCACACCCTGCATCCACCGCACCCTGGCTTATTACAACTTATCTAGAGAAATAAAACCCCGGAAGAGTACTATTTTAAAAAAAGATGCGAAAAGCCTCGGAATACTCAACTGTGTATTTTTTCATTTATTATATTTTTTTACTTCAATAACAACACAATCGATTGTTGAGAAGCAAAAGTTGAGAAGAGCAGATTGTATTTATTTTTCTTTGAGGCAGATAGGTCATGCTGTTTTTTAATCAAAAAACATTTTTTTTTCTTCTAAATAAATTTTACTTTTTATTTAAATACACAATATAATAACAAAAGAAAAATAATATCTGACAATGGCAAGAATGTATTATTTGAATGAAACAATGCAAACGTATAATAACAATAACAATAAGACAATAATAACGATTGAAATAAGGATTAACAATTGAAGAAAAAGATTAAAGAAGATATATCAACAGGGACAAAAAGCTATGGTATTACAAAATAGAAAAATTAGCATCATAGACGATATTTGTTTACTCTAGCAACGTTTAGTCTTTCGGTTTTTCCACATCGTTCCATTCGGTCTGAAGATCATTTAAGAGAATATCACCATCTATGAATATATTGGTGAACATCCCTGTGCTACTGACGTACTCAGAGCACCACCAAGATTCACCATTATACTGTAGAATCTTATTGTCATTTTTGTTTAAGCGGAATAGGTTATTTCGAATATTGCCTATCTTCAAATGATTCTTGGGAAAAAATGCGACGAGCTGTTGGAGACCTGCTTGCCACACAAAAAACATTTCGTATTTGTCCGTGTGGAGGTCTAGTTCAGTTAATAACAACTGAATCCGTAGATAACGACCTTTTGGTTGATTTCGAGGGTATTGAGTGATAGTAGGTAGATTGCCGCCATACAAGCTGGTATTTCCAAAAACACCACTGATTCCGAGATGAACTAAGTTATCATCATATGTTTTATCATTTGGTTCGAATCCTCGAAGCTTTTGTTCGTCTTGAATGCTTTTTCGGCGGTGCTCTAAACAAAACAGCATACATCAATTAAAAGTAACACAATACCTAAAATTTGCGCATCAGTATCACAGATGTTTCCTGTAGTTTACCAGATGTGACGTGATAAAAGTAGAGTACTTGAGTTTTTTTAAAATCTTTTAACTTGTTATATAGCTACCCGTATACAAAAAAAAAAGAAACTATTTAATATTACCATTAACAACAAGCGTACGGGCTTACCTCTTCTATCTCTGATACTGGTCTTTGCTTGCTTGGAGGTGTATCCGATACTGTACAAACTCCCATTCGAGTTATAATCTCATTCATAATTTGCGGTTCTGTTTTTAAATAAGTTTCATTGTCCTGCGTAACTAAAATCTGATTTAGTTTTTCTATGCTCGTTGCAGTTGGATCTTTATCGTCGACAACCACATTTTGCTGTAGTGGTATGTCCAGCTTTGATTGTTCTGTAAAAAAAATTAAACTCAAATTCATGTGTAAAAAACGTTGTACCTTTGACTGTACTTGTTTCTCTACAGATATCGATACGATATCTAGGTTTGTCATTTGAATTATCCCAAAAGAAAACCGGTGACGGACTGCAAAGATAATCACCGGTGTCCTCTTCAACCAATGTGACACTATCACTTGCTAGTAGTTTAAAAATATTATGGATAGTAGACATAATTTCTTCGCTCGTCGATGTGTGAGCGACTTTCATTGTTTTTTCCATCGAATCTCGAACGAGAACGATAGATTTTACTTTCTTAAAATTGCTATTTGTGATTTCAGCCATTTTTCAATGAAAATCTGAAAAAGAAAAATGTTCTCTCTCGAGCTGATGATGTACAAAAAGTTTTATTCTCCTATTAATTCAATGTTAGAGCAGAGAAGAGAGAGAAAAAAAGAAAGCAACGGCAAAGCTTGAAGTGTATAGACAGTTCCCATCTGCTAAATGCTCAACAACACAAGCACTGATTTCTTTTTTTTTTCCCCATTTTCTTCTCTCTTTCTCGTTCTTTTTCTTTGATGTTCTCATAATATAATGCAGAAGGGTTAAACATATTCGTCAAAGAAATAAAAAATGATGGACAGAAAAAAAAAGAAGAGGATAGCGGTTATATTGCAAAACACTTAAATCAAAAGAAAATCATTTCCTTTTCTCATATATACATTAAAATGTTCATAGAAATAACACCAGACCTCCTGTTGTTGTGAGATCAATAAACGGCAAAAAAGAAAAATATATTAAAAAAAGTTATAATAATTGATTTTTTTAAACACGTTTTCGTGCATCAATAATAATAAAAAATTTTTTTTTCAAATAAAGCATGTTTAATAATAGCTGATCAATAAGAGAAAAGTCATTCGAGTAGAAGTTCTCTTCTCGATCATTTTTTTTTATTAAACTAATCGATAGAATCTATATTTGGATATGCGTAACACTTATATGTTATTTCGTGGGAAAAGAAAACATGAAATAAATTAACAACAGGAAATATTCAATGATTTTTACGTTTAGTTCTACTCCCATGGTACCTATTGTTAAAGAACAAGACGAAGAAAGAGTAGTTATATTCTGTGTTAAAGTTCGTTTATATTAATATTATTCGTCATAGGTATAGTTAATGATGGCATAGTAGTATTATATTAATATACCGTCAATGGAAGTATGATATTGAATGACTCTACTGTACAGTTAACAAAGTGTTTCTTGAAATATTGCTAAAAACAAAATTGCTGAAATATTTTTTATGATTAACAAAAGAAACTATTCCATATAAATAAATTAAAACAAAAATTTTCAAATTTTTTATTGAGTTTTTGTTAATTTCTTTTTAATATATCGATTCACTGATGGTGTTAGTATTCGTTCAATAACTGTTTTATATGATATTCCACATTTATTTGCCATTACAGGTAGATCAGAGAAGTTGGGTGCAATGCCTGGTATACCATTTAACTCGAGAAAATAAATGGAGCCTTGATTATCAATACGAAAATCAATTCGACATACATCTCGACATCCAAGTGAAACGAAAACGCGTTTTGCAAACATACATACATTTGCCATTTGTTCTTCATTATCAAATTTAACAGGACAAGTTGATGAAAAATAAGTAAGTGAGAGTTTATATTGATATGTATAAATTGGATATTTATCAGTAGTTTTCCATGATACTTCCATTGGACCAATGATCTGAAGATCATTCAAATCTGAGTTCTCGTTACCTAATACTGCAATAGTGTACTCTTTTCCCGCAATATATTCTTCACATAGAATAGGTTGTTGAAATGCTTTCCATTTAGTTACCACAACTGTTTTAAACTCTTCAATTGTATCTACTACCGATAGGTTGTCAATACCTTTCGAACTTCCCTCATGACTTGGTTTAATAATAACTGGAAAACGAAGAGAAGATATTGTCTCTCTCGGCAAAGATTTACCATTATAAACAACATATTTTGGAGTTAAAATATTATCTTGAATTAATAATCTTTTTGCTAATATTTTGTCATGTGTAATGGCTAATGCTGTTGCATCACTACCAGTATGTTCAATATGTAATAAATCACAAATAGCTGATACTTGTGATTCACGTGATCGCTTTTCCATTCCTTCTGCAATATTAAATACAATGATAATTTAATATTTAAGCAAATTTTCAACAAGATTTTTGTCAGCTTCGATTAGGAAAAACATTCTTCTATCCTAATTCAATGATTGTTGACAATATTGCATCGATAGTTGTTTGAGAATCGAATTCTGCTTCTTCTTCCTAATGTGGATTTCGTTTTAAATTACAAGCAAGTGCCACATGACAATTAGTAATATTTGATGATACTTCCATTCTTAAGTTACTTTACAGTAATACGGATATTGATAATATCTACAAATCAACGAGTGATGTAAAAGTTGTTAATGCGATTTGAGTTTTTCAAATTTTTAACTATTTCAGTCTTCTCATGAGTGTAGTCTTTACCATCGCTATCAAGTTGAATAGTTGAAAACTTGGATTTAAAAGTCGACTATATACAGGAAGTTTTCGGCAACGTTTCTGCTAATAAAAGAAATACGAATGAATGCCACACTAGAATATTATAATTGACTATGAAAAGAAAAAATAATCTTCAATAATACTCGAAAATGACAATCACATCTATATTGTAAAGCGCACTTCAAATAAGTAAATCATTAGTCATTCAGAAAGTTCTAATAAATCAGACTAATTTTATTTTGACTTTATTGAGATGTTACTAGTATAAGATGTTTTAAATAAAACATAGCTTTTTATATGTCGGAATCATTACGTATGTATATAACTTTCTTCAAAACCTATAGAAAATCTCTTTTTTCTTCTTAGAGCTATTTAGAATGTGTAAACACAGAATTTATCCATGTGTCTTTTAATTTATAAATGACAGCTATGGATATTGTTTTATCAAAGACAAAACAAGATGAAAATATGCAAATATTTTTATATGTACAAAAAATACTGGATTAGCATAGGCTTATCTACTATTTCTAGAATTCGAGTATTATAGAGGTGTTTTCGATTTATTTTCAACGCTACTAACTAAGTCTTATATTCTCGAACGAGATGTGATACTGTATTACTTGCCGTGTGACCTTGTCAAAATAATATACATTATATCGTGTAATGTGGTTGTATTATACGAACATGCAAAGAGTAACGTCGAAAACAAAATCATTGAGGTATAAATTCAAAGAATAGAACACAACAGAAAAAAGATATTCGTAACTTACGTCTCTGATAGATATCGTAATTGATGTATTGATAGATTATTCGATACTACAAATCTGGTTAGAAACAAATATTTAGAGAGTTCTCGTTTGATTTATAAAATCTCTTTGAAGATATTAACTTATTAAACGAAGAACCGTGTATGTACTGAAAACCACCATAAAATCGCCGATTTTATCAGATCAGATATCCCGTACGTTTCTCGAATCAATTTCTTCCATGTTTTTCATATTCGAAAAAA